TTATTTAATTATTATGAACGCGACGTTCTACAGTAAGGTTTTCATTTCAAAGCACAATGAAACTCCGTTATTTGGAAATTACATATAAATTATCTATAGACATATTAGGCCCTCATACGTCATACTTCCAACATTTCACAGCAGCAAGAAGCAATGATTGCACACAAGTTACTGAAAATTGTTGGCCGGTTAACTAAGATGTCAATACATTATTCAGAGCTCACACCGGTCAAATTCTCGTCGTCGAAATTATTTTTTATGATATACGTATGAATATTATGCATTTGGAATAGCAATCAAGCGTTAGCCAGTGCAATATTAAAAAAAAAAAAAAGAAAAAGCTAAAAACAATTTAGCGGCGTAGGGCCGACTCAACAATACAGTCGTTTTATATCGCACGGTATCGATTTTAACGGTTCCCGAGCGCGTAGTGAATGCAACGGTGGCAAAGTTCAAGGCGCATGGGGGTTGGTCGCGTAGGCAAATTGTGCGCGGTGATCACGCGACGCCGCTGGGGAGACTGCAACTGCTATTAACATAGCGATAACGATATGTTTAACGTTGCCGGTGCGACCGACAAATATATATAGAGTCATGCAAATTTCAACTAGATGCCACTGGTTAAAACGACGTTTTCTCGTTTTTTAAACAGATTTTCCGACGAAACGTTAACGCTACGGCGCGAGCGGCGGTACCAGGGCAACATGGGTCCTGCGCGTCATCGCCTTGAAGTACTCGGACGGTTGTTTTTAAGTGTGTGGCCGCGAGGAAAAGGGCGCCGCGGGCACGAGCGGAAAGCGTTTCTACTCCGTGCCTTTATCTAATCTATATTGTGTTTACGTTGCGACACGCAAAATAGCGAACGACCTGGGCTAGAAAACAACACGTGTTTGACGTGTACAATCACGTGCACGTATATGTACTCACTTCTTTGTCTCCAGGTGTAATTTTTATTACAGCGACGAAAATTGGATTGTATAAATAGTTCAATATACAACTTTTGAAGGTATCTGCGTTAACCTTAATATAGCTCGCCACTTTGGTAATTACTAGTTCAAAATAAACAATACAGGCTCGGAGTCATACTTTTAATGCGCGCGACTGTACATTACTACGAAAAACGCCAAGGGCATATCAGTGACTCTTACGAATTACGCACTTTAATAAATTTTTTTACGTAAGCAATCATGTCGGCATAAAGAAAACGTCACCGCGTCCTATCACTAACGTAAGCATAAGACGACGGTCGTAAAAGTGGTAGCAATAATATTCGAACATAGACTAGAAATTTTTTTGTGAAAAAAGACACCTCGTGTTCTACCATTTTAAGTAAACGATTTTACACACCATATTTATGTTGTAATTAATAAATATACAGCGTGTCGTTACCATCGCGACAATAAATGAACACACGTCTAACGCTACTTGCCAGTAATCATAAAAAAAATTTAACGTTAAACAAAATCCATAATTTAAAAAAAATATTTTTCAAACAAACTAATTAAGTAAAAAAGAAACAAAATTTGTAACATCCTATACAACTCGCGTCATAGCGTCGCATTACAAGCCTCTCCTTCTAACAGTATGTTTTGTCTCTTTTAAATTCATCCAACCCATTCATATGCTTTGTGACCTTTACAAATGAACTTTACGTTATGCTTTTATAGGTAAGGGTGTTCTTAAATTCTTTGTTTTGGAAAATTTAATAACTCTGTAAATATTGATGTTTAAAGAATTTAAATGTTTAATACAACTTTAAAAAGTTATCCCCATTTATTGTAACGACACGCTGTATAATAATAATATGCGTTAATAAGATTGTTACACGTACCTGTGTTATGAATACTTTAATATATACTTTATATATAATATTATAAGGAGGAAAGTATTTTTGTGTGTTTATAAAGAATTGACTTAAAAACTACTCCACCGATCTCAAAAACTTACAATTAGAATCCTACATTATCCCTGAGTAATATATGCTATATTAATTACTAGGAAAATTTAAGAATCCCTTCTAAAAGTTCAATAACTTAACCCAATAAGTAAAAGGGTGGACAATTAACCCGTGGCACGCTGGAAAGAACCGCTAGTCTTTTACACTATAACACTACAAAAGGTAAAATTAAATTCTCTCTTGACTTTTTAAAGATTAAAAAATTTTATGTGAAAGAAAGTCGTTTTGAAGACCGTTTTGCGTTACAAATCAATAGATAATAGTCAATTAAAATTCTCATTGATATCTCAAATGCTTCAACGCCAAATCGTAGTATCTTGAAACTAAGGTCATTTATTTGAATGTTTTTAAAACACCATAAATCTTCTAACTTGCACCACAAACGGAGTGTGTTCGCCGTCGACTACCGCGTCTGCTTAGATGTGACGTTGCACGCGTGGTGCGTGGCGCGTCACATAATATGCAAGATGGCCCCACGCGCATACCGAATTGAGTTCAAAATCGCACGACGCGCATGCAAATCCCAATTTTTCCGTTCGAAGGTATGCGCAGCGCGAGCGTCCCGTGCATTAATAAATGTTCCATTATGAATGTAAAACTGTTTTTATATTTCAATGGCGTCCTTTAGTGTGCAACAATGAAATGCCGGCTGCGCGTACCGCTAGATTGGGCGCGAAATAGCCTCTGCGGCGCGAAACGACGCGCCGGCGGGCGGAGCGGGAGGGGGAGGGAGCGGGCAACCCACAAGTGGCAACACCGTTAAGTTAAACACACCACAGCTGACAGCAATAAAAACTGTAATTAATTTAGCGACAACGTTTCATCGCATTGTATCGATCACCAAGTACTTCAAACGTATTGCAAAAGAAAGCGGAACACACCTATTGCACTTGAATAATACAATATAACAGAATTTATTGTGAAAAAAAAAGATCAAAATGTTGTGCTTAATAACTACATCACACTATTTAATAGACACTAAACACCTGGAATCATGGCTGTAATCAGATCCATCCCAAAAAGATCACTTTTTTTTAATCATCCTTGCCATTAATTTTTTTTTTTTTTTAAATTAGGACAGGTAGTTGCTTCAGCTAGTGGGGGGTTGTCCTTAACTAAAATGGCCAATATGAGGCTGCCACTTCAGAAACTTTCTTCTACAATTCATATAAGTAGATTCAATAAATAAAAAAAGGTATGCATGATAGTCTTATTTTGCAGAATATAAATATTCTGTTTGAGGGAGACATTAAATATTATTTATCTACATATAGTATTCATGTAAATATACATGTATATTATGAATATTTTTGTATGTATTTAATAATTGTTATCAATGTATGTATACATATTACATAATATTCTAGCTGACTCGGCAAACACTGTTTTGCCATAATAATTGTTTCTTATAATAGTTATCTGAACACATAGAAAAAGAATTCGGAACGCACGCATAAAATATTTGATGGGTAGAAACAGTTTGTATGGGAAAATAAAATTGTTGCTATTTCGATTTTCCATGCAATTTTTCCATACTTTCTCATCGTTTAAACCTACCCTGGACTGCCACGAATATTTCAAAACCAAAATTAACCAAATCGGTCCAGCTGTTCTTGAGTTTTAGTGAGACTAACGAACGGCAATCCATTTTTAAATATAAGATTTACCCTATATAGCTAAAACCTACACTTCTTTCTCTCATTAACCTTCCAGTTGGCTGGTAGAAAATGCCTTATGGCATTAATCGTTTGTACTGTTGGTACAATAATGTGTGCAAATAAATAAATAAATGTAAAAATCTTTGTTTGTATAGAAAAACCCAGAAACCGGTGGTAACTTACAAATGTATTCATTTTTATCTAAAATTTTGACATTTCATAGGAACGCGTAAGTGTCTATGTGAATAAATATATCTTTTATTTTTTTTATTTTGAATATGCTCGCTCACCCCTTGTCCATTACAAGTCATTCCAAAAGTAGGATTGAAATCTACCACCTAAATAGATAGCCTTGAGCTTACAAGAATGCTGCGTATTAAACAAATTGTAACTTGAATGGTTATGGTATGGCAAATAGGAATACTGAAAGGAGAGAACTAAACAACAATGGCACATGAAAAATAGTATTTATATGTAAACTTCAAGGTTAGGTGTTTTCATTACATTGCCCAATAATAATAACTATACCTTTATTATGATTAAGGACACACATTGACAAAATCTCACAAAAGTCATCAACAAACATTTCTGAAAATTATCTTAATAAATAAAAATAAATGTTGGCAAGCGCATAACTGAAGAATGGCTGGACCAATTCGGCTAATTTATTTGTTCCTTAAGGTCCACGGAATCTTTTAATACTATATTTAAAAAATGCTGTCTGCCCAGAGAGCTAGTAGTTTATAATAATGTGCATTATGCTACAAAAGCTTGGAAAAAAATCATTGAGTTATTAGAAACAACAATTCAAGAAGCTTATTACACTATATCATTATAATGTTACAAAAAACTTTATAGTTATTTTGAGTTTGTTTCTAGTATAACATGAAGAATAACAGAGTGAACAATGATAAAAAAAGATACAAATTTATCAAATGAATACTGGCCATCTTTCTGATGCTCAGTTTTTACTAGAAGTAAAATATAATAAACTAGCAACCCATCCCGGCTTATTATTATTATTATGTATTATACATATAAACATTCCTCTTGAATCACTCTATGTAGTAAAAAAAATGCAGCAAGCATAGGGAAAGACAGACAGCCGGACGACTTTCTTTTATGCTATGAAGTGAAAACATGTTGCGGTAAGAAGATAACTATTGAACAGATATTGATTGTTGAGGTTTTGTGAAGAATTGTCAAATTTCATATTGAGTTTTAATAAAAACCATACTTTTAAAACAAATTTCCATGAACTGTTGTTCCACATCTTATATGAATCCAATCACTAATGTAGGTATATACATTATGCTCAATGACTTTCCTTAACATCATAAGATTATTACTAGGTAGAGAACAAATTATTTTAAATAAGCACTTACCAGCAACCTCTAGCAGTGTTTCGAGTCGCGCTTGCATCTCTGGATCAACTGCGCGTTCTGGGTCATCATGGGTGAGTAGGAACTTAGATGACTCTGCAGCACTGCCTTCCTCTTCCATCTCCTGCTGAAATATAATGGAATTTTATTAATATCAATCATAAATTCACTGAGACAAGATAGAAAGTAATTTTTTGTAATTTTGTTTTGACTTTCTTAAGGAAAAAACAACAAATGTAAGTAACAAATAGGTCAAAGTAAAACTTCAGATTTGGGCACCAGTAGTTGAGATTTAATGTTAAGAAACTATTTTGCTTATTTATCTGAACATGGGATTTATCCATTACAATTCACACAAAACATGACCTTATTTGTTTTATTGATAAATCATAAAGAAACTTAGTGATATAAGATAAACAAAATGGGTAAGAGGTTAGGTTTTGTTTATGAATACAACACAAGTTAGCTTTGTTACTGACAACTATGACTAGCATGAGCAACTATTCACTTTAGTAATAAGTTAGTTGAATCATTAAAATTAAAGCAAAGGTATCTGTTAGAATCACAAGGACCATTCAAAATTAGAATATCATTACATTATCAACTGTTGTCCATTGCACACACATTAATCTTGTTAACACTAAGAACCACACTGCAACAGCGATTGGTGTTGATGAAGCTCTTGGCACTCACTACAGTAGTCTTCAACTTACCAACAGGTCTGGCCTGCTAAGGCACAAACAAGCCAGCAAGATCTATAACACCAATGAGAAAAATATAAGATACAATGACAATGTGGTGCTTGGGGACGAGCTTACGACTAATGTTTACGGTCAATGGTCCTTGAGATTCGCCAATAACCAATTTTTTTTGCGCGAATCGCTGCGGGCGTTTTACAAAAGTGGTACGCGCGTGACAACATTAAGTGAAGCACTGCTCGCGAAATTTGCGACGAATCCAAATAAATATTATATAATTAATGCAATCGCATCGAAATATCGCCACAAAAACACATTCTTTCGTACTTCGCATTGACTGTGTGCATGTGATTCAAGAAACATGGCCACCGCAATTCGTGCCCAGTCCAAAACACAAATAGACAATGAAAAGACTTACGGCATATTGGCCCCCAAAGTGAAATTAGTAAGAATCAATTGAAATTTGACTATGAGCGGCTGGCATAAATAATTTCATGCATTACTCAGTAGAACGTATGTACCTATGACTTTCTGACGTTTTACGGAATATTTGGCAAGCAACTAGCACCGTGGAAATAGTGATATTTTATTATATTTTAACCTGCGTTACACGATTAGACCCTAATGCCATGACTTGATGCGATTACAATACTAAAAGAAATTGTATGCTTAATTACATACAAGATGTCCCTTGCAGCATTTAGCGGTACAGATAATCACAGTCCTTTGCCACCGCCTCTGCCAAAAACAAAACACGTTTTACCTCAGATACAGAATCATCCTCGCTTTCCGAAGAATCCGTCATGTATTTGGCAGGCGCTCCAGAATACGTTTCGGTTTCAGATTTGGCCGGACTCGAAGCCGAACTCTGAGGAGTGGACGATTTTACCACATCAAGTTGCACATTCACCTTATCGATATTTCGGTTTTCAGACTGTCCGACATTCTGCATTTTTATCCTAATCCAAAACAACTTAATTAGTCTTTCAGTATCAACACTTTTTCTACGAAATTAACACGTTCTTATTATAGCAAACAAAATTTATTTCGTCATTTAGCCAGGTTGATACCCGCCATGTCTACTACTATGGCGAGGTTCCCGGATGCTTCAAGTAGGCTAACCAATTATCTCCCTCTGGCGATAAAATTGTGAACTTATTTGTGCTGCCATCTGCTCCAAAAAATGCAATTTGATACGCATAGACAACTTAATCTTTTTAAACAATCAATGCCAAAGAAAGATAATACTCTGCCAATACGTAACGAAATAAATTAAAAAAGCATTTATATAAAAAAAAAATTTTAAAACACCGAACTTATATGCCATGTTAATAAAAATTTACAACTTAAATTCATATAATCTAAATAGTACGTAGTAATGATAACAGATATGTTATATGCTTCGCAAAAGTATTCACAGTGGGTTCAAACTTAATCGAAATAGTAATATTTCTCTCATTTTACTTGCCATTTTAAAACCGACAAATATCGAAACACATTACGTTACTTATTACTGGAATCTTTATTCCTCTATCTTTACACCAAACACCATGGACAACAAAAGGTATACATAGACACTAGACAGAACAATACACAATGTGTCTAAGCTTAGCAATTATATACCGAAATCCCTTGTTTTAGAAACTATAAATGTCGAGCAAAAAAACATATAGCATTTGTTGTACAGCAAGCGAGAAATATTGTCGGTGTCGCTCAAAGAGTAAAGTTATATATATATCGGCGGTAATCTTACTCGTATTCGTTCGTATAGTTCGTAATCGTATTCGTAATTCGTATGGCTGTAAGTGTATGGCAATCCAATGAAAGATATAAAATGGGCTTACTTGTTAAAAAATATTTATATTACGAAGTTTTGAGTAACGAGCGAATGTGCTGTATAAGTCTAATATGCCAAGTAAAGATATTTTAACGTGATCTATTTAAAAATATATATACTTATAAAAATTGTACGCTTTTTTCCCTTTGGTTAATTTAATATTATGGTGATATTTTCCATCATAAAATGAAACTACTGCTGGGCCTCAATATACAAAATGAGTGAAAGATTTTAATGAAACAACATGGCTAGGGACGGTGACTTGCCTACAATATTTAATCCAAAGCGGGTCCGCGCGCCGTCAGTCATCATTACCAGCGAAGAGGTGGAAACTGATCAAGGAGCTGGTGGGGATGTCGAAAGGGCGAATGGACCACCCACACCCTTGAGTCCACGTGCGCCTCTTACGCCCCAAACTTCTGTGTCATCAGCACCGCCCCTGACTACTCAACCATCGCTTCAGCAAGCTTACAGCGAATCAGCTACAAGCAGCCAAGATGAAGAGCGCCAGCTTCGTGACAAAAAGTGTCCTCGATCTTGTTGTTCCAAGTTTGCAAAGAAGGTCAGCATAACATTTCTTTTTCAATTTATTTTGTTTTCATTACTTTCAAATACCATTTAAATAAATTTCCTGGATATATAACTATACTCTTTTTTACTAATATGTCTGCAGTTCATTGTGTTTAGTCCTTCACATTATACCTATCTAAAGGATCATTTCCAATTTCTATTTGATTCCCACTCTGTCTCTAAGGTGATTAGAAGTAGCTTAAAATTCCTACACACGAAACCAAGTTTATGAGCAGGTTATTTATGGCGCATGGCTCAACTCTGATGATTTACCTCTAGAAGTAAGGTGCGCTCAGTTGTAAAATCTTGTAAAGAATCACTACTTATCTCTGGCATGTTGTTTCTTAACAAAGATATATTTATTCATATGTTTATGTATATATTTTGTACATACAATTCGTCTATTTGCATGCATATTTATTTATTTCATTTAGATAATTAACCCACACCTTTACTCCTGAATTAATTTATTTTTAGTCCATCCAAAGGTTTTCTGGAAGAAATTAGTTTTATATATTACATATAGTAATCAGGCTGCCCATTCTTCCCATCTTTTATGTTATGTTTTGGTTTTCGTTTTTTTTTATTTTTCATCAATAAAGTAGGTATGTCCATTCATTCATTATTTTAATATTTTAATTTGCAACAGCAAAAAATTAATATATGAAAAATGGTAAACAATGCATTTGTAAGAGAGGCTTACAAAGGTACATTAATATAATAATTATAATAAGATTAACAGCTTATTAAAATCTTCCTGAGTTGCATACAAATATATGAGGCTGCTAACATTAGCTTAGGTGTTCAATGCTCTGTATATTTTTATTCATATAATGTATGACAGTGATACCAATTTAAATCCACAGTACAGAGGTAACATTTGTTATTTACTCACAGCTGTTTCTTAGCTAGGCTTTGTAAGAGAATTTTTATTGAAAATTTGTAATTTTTATTGTTCTAAATTTATTTTAATTCTTCTCTAAAAAACATTTTGAACTCTTTTTCTAAATTCTTATTCTAAATTTATGAAGGATCACACTAAAAAAGTTATGGTCTCTTACAGACATTTGGAAATTCTTAAACTTAGGAATATTCTCGTAGACATAAAATTTTATGATCACCTAAAATTATCAAATAGTTAATCATCACATTATCCCTTCATGGATCTATTACATTAAAATTGGGATTGGATCAAATAATTTATTGTGTTTTGAAAGTATTATGAATAATTTATAAAGATGTCTCTAATCTAAAAAGAAATAATATATCAAATAGGTAAATAAAATAAGTAATTATTATTTTTTATATGATCAAGATGGGAGAAGCAAGCTGGCAGTTCCCTTGATGTTAAGTGATAACTGCAGCCCATTGACATTTGTGACACCCATAGGGTTGCAGATGTATTGCCACCTTTTAGTAAAGTTGACCCCGGGTAACTCACTCATCAGATAAAACGAAAGTATATAACTTCCACTTCACACCAGTCTTCTGTGAGTTTGTGGTACTTAACTGAATGGACAACCTATTCATGTGTCGCATTTTTCTTACTCCTCACATGACGTTATCTCCAATTTACAAACCATTTATCCGTACTAATATTATAAATGCGAAAGTAATTCTGTCTGTCTGTCTTGCTTTCACGACAAAACTATTGAACCGATTTATACGAAATTTGGTACACAGATAGTCTAGAGTCAGAACAGTTGAAAGGTTAAAGAAAGATATTCATTTAAGGGTCCAACGCGAGCGAAGCCGCGGCCGAAAAGCTAGTCTTTGAATAAATGGATTGCTTTAAAAAAGGTATTTCTTATTAGGTATGCTTATTGTTATAACCTTGTGGTTTAATGTAACCTGTGATCTGAGGTTCCATCCCCACATTTGTTTTTTACCAAAAATTTGGCATGTATACGGCGATATTTTAACTTGCCACGTCTTTAGAACCGTCCACCCGGATATGCTTGATAGACGCGTGGGTGTTCGTCGTTCTCAAACGGCTCAGCTGTTCCGCAGATATACTGCGGCATCTGCGTGACGGTGGTGCTGGTGGCCTCGTGGGTCGCGGTGACCCACTGCGTCAAGTACATGTACCTGCAGGAGTATCCGCCGGCGCAGGACGCGCCGCAGAGCGCCGACCCGTCCACCTACAACTTCACCTCGAAAGTCCCCACCCACGTAAGTCTAAACGCTACTTAGGATCCTTTAAGGAGCGAGGTGGTATAGGCTCTCTCTCTCTCGCACGGCGATTTCCGAAACGTAACGTGCGCCAGTGAGTTTCGGCTATTGCTTTGGTCACCATTGTAGCGAGGACTGAGATCACACGCTCACATAATACCGGGTGCCATGCCACCGGAATCCGAGCGATGGATCCTGGTTCTTATGATCAGGCAGTACCTTTCCCCACCAGTCGCAGTGGTGACTGTGCTGGCCGAGGAATCTATGTAGATTCCTCCGCGGACGGAGACCAGTGACATCCGTGTGGATGCCATTGGTCTCCGTCCGTGAAGCTGTCGTGGTCCAGAAGGAGATCTGTGAGCGGGAACAAGAGACCTTACCCGACCAGAGTAGAAGGTATCCGACGTGTTTTCAGCCCTGTAGTCTCGTTCTGATGGAATATGGCTGAGGTAACCATTGCCTGGCGTAAAAGTTGACACTGGGTTCACGGACGATCGGGATGGGGACATAATCGTCTAATTAAGTGGATGGTATGTACGAACTGGTCCCTTGGTTCCGCAATACGCAGGGGGAATGGAGGAAGGAGCAGTACTGAGTGGTAAAGGTGCGTTCTGTGGGAGATCTCGGTAGAGGATTCGAGCGGCTAAACGTACTTATGGTGGCCCCCGTAGGAATTTTAGTGGATATGAACCCCACAGCAAGTAACCCTTTGACTCCTCTTAGGGTAACATTTGAAGGTTTCCCGATAAAAGTAAAAGAGACAAGGAGACAGTAGAAACATTTACAGAATCTGTATCATGGCACCAGGAAGGTATTCGCGAAATATTAGAACTTTATTGATAATGTGCGACTCGTTTTATATTTTATTTGTAATGTTACTATTAATTTTTATTTTTATAATATCACGGGAGAATACTTCGAAGTGGAAGTATCGCCTGGTGAGTAGGGTAACCGGTGGCTCATTATGATGTTGACAGCTCCCCTGCGACCCTACCTATGTTGCTGCTGGGTGGCGGTAATTACTTAATGAGGATAATCGCTAGCTTGTTAAGTCGAGAGATTTTATTAATAATTTTATAAACTGATCAGTCACGACTGCAGTACGAATTTTATTAAACATCATCCTTTTTGATGCAACAGAGGTGATATAATGGATGCAGAAACGGAAACAGATATTCAAATAGAACTTATTCAAACCGAAACGGGGACGGATGCGAAAACGAAAATGTAAATAGTATAAAAAATATCTCTTTTTATTACTAATATTTAATACTCAATGTTAGGTAACGTCAAGTTCATCATTTCAGCCTGTTAGAGTACAGTATTCCATTCCATAGACTACCACGAAGCACAAGCCTGAACTAACTGCATCCATCGACTTTCCGCACATGCACAGATCGTCCTACACTAGGATGGCCGATACGATGCCACTGTACATTTCTTACCTATCGTTTATCGGTTTACCGTTTAGATATATGGCAGGCCCGTTGCCACTTAACATCACTAATCTTCTGATCTAAGACCTTTGTTTTTCTGTGGAAATCTTCCTTGCGTGCTCTATTACCCAGAGAAATACAAAGCATAGCCCGATCCATAGCTCGCTGAGTGATTATCCTTCTGTGTATCGGATTCAATCGGAGTTCTTATATTGTATTTGTAATGAATTCATGTCAAACTGCTTATTTAAAAAAAAAGCCTGCTGAGTTTCTTTCGCCGGTTCTTCTCAGTACAGTGGCTTTCTTTCCGGAACCGGTGGTAGTGTTTTTGACTATCAATAAGAGAGTGTAATGCTCCTATTTTGAATAAAGACATTTGATTTTGATTTTGATCGAGCAACGTATTGTGTACTCACTGTTGAATAATAAAATCTATATGTATTATTCAGCAGTGTTAGTTGCATATTTATCTGTTGTCAAATGTACGACTGTGCTTATGGTAAACTAAGTTTCGAAACCGTCTTGTCGGATGGTTGATATTTCGATCATTAGTGATCGTGAAATCGCCTAATATCCTATTCTTGTGCTTTACTCCGCCATTTTGCCTTTTTCTCGATCGTATCTATCATATGTGTTACATTCTCACTGCAGACGTCGAATATCTACTTAGTCATTTCAGGCATTGTTCTCTTTGTTTCGGACGTCCGAACCGACTCGATATTTGTTTCACCTTTTATCATGACGTCTTTCATAAACCATTTTTGTGATATTTAATTAAAGTAAATTCGACTTCTTCTTAAACCAATTGCGTTTCGTATTCATCGAATTTTCCTCCTTCTTGAAATACTATTATTATATTAGTATTTATTATTATACATAATTATACCAAATGCCAATAACATCCTTATATTCCTGGATTTTTGCAGCCCCTACCCAGGAGGTGAGGTTATCTCTCAAAAAAATGTTCTTGGTATAATCGTTAACACAGTATTCCCTTTTACGCCTGAGAAGAGCCTCATCCCTATCAACTTATTCCTATTTTATGCTGTAAGTCTAAAACTACAGCCGCACACCCAACTAGGAACGGGATATTAATTTTTCTCACTCTCCACTCAATGTGTGTGTGCAAATCATAATTCAATGCACGAAACAATTACACCAAGTAAACCGGCCCTCCGGAGCCCCAAGCCGTATCGGTCTGGAAATACAGCTGGCAACATAAGTTTTCCTTTGCGCAGCTGTACAACGCGCCGTTCTTCACGGCGTGGTTCTGCACGAACTGGCTGATCCTGTTCTACCCGCTGTACGTGATAGTGATGCTCATCCACAACAAGTGCAAGTCGGCCCACGACATCGTGTTCGACGCTTTCAGTGACTTCAAAGAAAAGGGATTCACATTTGGTGAGTTTTTTTTTTTTCACTTAAATATTTCAGGGCATATTTTTGAATAACGTTATCCAGTTTTTGACCGACTTCGAAAAATGAGAAAGTTCTTGTTATCTCAGAACTTTCTACTGAGTGAATCGATTTTGATGATTCTTTTCAAATCGATTGAAAGTTGGTGCTTCCCATGTAGTCCCATATTCATTTTATTGGTATTTGGATCTCGGGTTCCGGAGATACTTTGGGAACTCCTAAGAATCGATTATAAAATGAATACAGAGCGAGGTATTTGAAGTCGGTTTTCTTTTTCACTAATAAAAATGGACTTGTTTTAAATTAATTTTATATTTCTAGTACTCCATGGCCTGCTAAGCTATTGGTTTCGGAACTGGGTGTTTGTTTCCCAAGGAGGGTTGACGTCATGTAGGCAGCCGGTCGTAAAAAACATAGTCAAAACCGCTTAAATGTTTCCCATATTGTGTCGGCCCCAAGGGCCCTGGTAAGGGCAGTAGGGTGATGATGACGATTTTTAATGCTAGTCTTTGCACTCAAGAGCAATGGCGACATCTCTCGTTATAAATATTCATCGTTGAATTTTGTTTGTATGGTGTTGTTTGCTGTCCGCCAATCCGCGGTGGGGAAGCGTGGCGAACTCTTTACAGAGGAGGCCTTTACCCAGCAGTGGGTCATTTATAGGTTTTTATTTTACGTTTTTACTACTTTATTTGCTATAAAGGATGCGGATGTTAGTTGATAAAGCGTTTGGGCGGGAAACCAGCAGATGCAAGATCGAATCCCGCAGCGCTGAAAATTTTTGTACATTTACCTTCAAAAATTAACAATTTAACAAAAGTTATCTAGTCCCAAACTAAGAAAAGCTAGTACTAAGGACACTAGATAACTGATAAACGCACTTAAGCTGCTTTTTTAAAACAATGTTTAAACAAATGTAAAAAAAACATCAAATCAATTTTTTGGAAGGTGTAATATGGGTTTATTGAGACAACTTAAAGATTTGGTATTCTGCTGTAGACAACCGAGTGACGAGGTAGACAGTGAAGTTGTCTTATGCGCCAAAGAGTTCCCCACTATTGGCAAAACATTATGTGATGAGCATAGCGTTTTACGACAGGCCGGGTACACCGTAGCCCTATTGTATGTACCCAAGAATATAAGGCTGATGCCAATCATCCTAGGAATCGGGAGCTGTTTTGCGTGGGTTTGACTTCAAGAAATCATTATATTATCGTTGGGGCAATATAAGAAATGTGATCACATAATACATATTTTTCCAGTCTTGTGTCTTTAAATTATAGTGTCCAAAATGAATGGGGGACTCTAAGACAAGTTTAAACGTTATCAACTCGAAAAGTACTCTTATTTAACAAAGTACTCGTGAAAATGCTCATATTACTGACCACGAAGTTCTTTATGCCTCTGCCAGCCCGTTTCCTGAGCCGATGCGGCCTCTTCTGCCTGCTGTGGGTGCTCAGCGTGTACATGTACACCTACGCCCTCCGTATACTGCTGGCCACGGACACCGTGGCCCTGTTCGCCACGAACGTCTCCTGCATCTACCTGCTCTCCTGGGTCATCCTTCACGAGCAATTCGTCGGCGTGAGGGTATGTGAATACTTTCTTTATTTTTAACAATGCCCTCACTTAAGGATTTTTTTTGGTTTTAAAAGTTAATAAATATCCTGTGTTGTAAGGACATTGTACAAGCATACATTCCACGCGGACGAACACCCAGATGCGAAACAACTGCCTGTGGGTCGCACGAATAGTTGTCCCGTGTGGGAATCGAACCCAAGCCCGGCACGCCGAAGCCAATACCTAGGCAACTGCGCCACTAGGAGTCGTCTATCCTGTGGAATATATATCCCGTGAAACTGCCATAAGTGCGCGTGTTTGCGTGTTAATTATTCGATCTCGCGATAACCGCTGAACGACGGTAGCTGGTGTGCTTGATTAGGATATTTTTTACTTTTGAAACTTAAATAACTATTACGTTAAAGGAAGAACTATGCGGGCGATGACGCGGTTGACTTACTTCGACACGGCAAGCTGTCCAATGTCTGATAGTTGTTGCGATAATGCTGTTTTATATTCACGAAATGACATGTTATTTAATACTATTACTATTGTTATTGTTAGGAAAAATACCGGACCTAAAACACTCCCTTGTAGAACTCTCGGTTCTTGTTAGATGTAGGTTATATTGAAATGGCATTTTTTTAAATTTTTACGATGATTCTATTAATCTTCTTTCCCTTCGGTACAACATGTGAATCATGTTGTTATTGGTTTTGGCTACGCGTTTTTGCGACGGGCCGCCTCTCCGTCGTCCACCTGTTCTTATTTCTTTCTTTGCTTTTACTCAAAATTTATCGTGTATGGCCGTTGAATCGAACGCAGGACATGTTATAAACAACGCGAATGAAACACCAAATTTGAAGGCGATGAAATCCGTAAAATTGTTTTACTTAAAAATGGCCTTCTTAGCAACTTTATGCAACTTTTGTCCAGATCGTCGCCGCCATCTTGTGCGATACGGGAATAGCTCTTTTGGCGTACATGGACGGCATCACGGGCAGCTCCACGCTGGGCGGCGTCGTGCTGGCAGCCTGCGCCGCCGCCGGCTTTGCTATATTCAAGGTGAGCAGGGGCTACAAATATTTTTTAGCCGACTGCACGAAGCAAAGGAGGCTGTTTTGAGAATGTGTTTATCAGCATACGCATGTTTTTTGTTGCGCTCTAGAGAACAAATGCGTGGGCCGTGCGGCGTGAAGATTCTCACGTAGACCGTGTTGTCTTAATTTTGCGAGTGTTGCAATACAAGATAGTAACAAAATGTAAATTGTGATTTTTTTTGTAGACAAATGAAAAGCAAAAACTTTCGGCTTAGAAGATGCGTTTTTCGGTTTCGCTCCAAAACTACCACGACTTCTTTCGACGGGAATAAATTATTTTATTTACCGTAAAAAGAAACCGTCGCAGTTTTTAAATATTCAATTTTTTTTTGTTCATTCGAGTGTTATCGCTTATTGAAAAATCCAGAGGCGTTATTTAAATGAAAAACTAATGAGTACTTCAACAGTAGAACACGCGATCTCCATTTTTTTTCCCAACTTAATTAACAGTTGCGTTTGGAAATTGTTTATCGCGTCGCAATCACGATTTGCACGCATTTCGAGTTCGATATAGTTTTCTGGGGGTTGTTTTTAAAAACAACTTGCTCAAATGTTTCTCGAACATGCGAAGGGCGAAACGGAATTCGTGAAGCTGTAATGCAACAACGAGGTTTCATTTCGTTTACTTACGAACCGCCTTGTTGCATTGTAATAGACACTGACAGGCCTTATTACATGTCGAATTTTTTTTTTTTTAAGTTTTGTTTCGAAGTTCGAAATTCGAACGTAGGACAGACTGCTGATGGTCCCGTCGCTTGATTAGTATTCGGACAGTCTTCATTTATTGTGTCTTATTAATTTATCACAACTAGTAGTGAACGGCTATTGCTGTGACGTTAAGCGCAAGAAAAAAAAAGTATCGGAACAGTCTATATGTCCCATTACTGGGCAAAAGCCACCTCTATACAGAGGATAATATCCTTACTTATATATTATTATTTATTTTTATTATTCTTACTAATATTATAAAGGCGAAAGTTTGTATGCATGGATGGATGTTTGTTACTCTTTAACGCAAATACTACTGAATAAATTTTAATGAAACTTTACAATAATATGGCTTATACATCAGAATAAGACATAGGCTATAATTTATATACATATTTTATATGTATCTGCCTCCCTACCACCTTCCTACCTTCAGCCTATTCTACGCAGCCGTAGTCGCGGGTTAATGACTAGCTGCTAGTCATTTATATGTTGAAATGGGATAAATACACACAGCCGTAGCCCGGCACAAAAAGTGAAACATTGAAACATGTTGTTAGTTGGCTAGTTTTTAAGGTAAACAAGGGAACAGTTATTTATAGATCCAGAAGTCGAGTAGGGTGAGAATCGAACCCGACTCCCCCGGCGCCGAAGCGAAGAGCTAGTATCACCACAAACATACATACGTTCGAAAACATTACCCCCCTTCAGCAGTCGGTTGAAAAAAAAATTGAAACTCGCGAGCATGTCGATCAGTTTATACTGATAATGAATAAATAAAAAAAAAAACTTAATTTAACACCGCGATATACTTGATTCGCTGAATTGCGGAGCGTGTTCCGTGACCCGACACGTGGCAACATCGATTTTCTTATCCCGGGAAAATAGTGCTTGCGTGCTCCAGTTGCCCCCGTGGTTATGTTACATGCCGGTGGCCCATTTGAGTCATAACACACTACTCGATACCACTTCGTAAGGAAATTATTAACTTGAAACTTCATTCTATTGGTAGTTTGCTAGTACATTGCTTTTGCTTTTTACTACCTCACTCTTACTAGTTTATATGCATAATGTTTTTTATATTTATAATGTTTCTTATCTATACAGATAAATGAAATTGGAGTGTCTGTTTGTAATATTAAAATAACCTCTTTTTACTAAATGCAAATGGATGTATACACGGTACATATACCAAAATAACATTTTGTACAATTTTTGTCTGTCTGTCTGTTTGTTCCGGCTAATCTCAGAAATCTGTATAAATATATTTTAGAAGAGGGCGGTGTTGCAAATGTTAATGCGCAGGGCGAATCTCTTACCAGATGGCCGCTTCATCGCTTTACTTCTGCATAAAAATAGTAATAAAAAGATTTTCATGTTCACAATAATTGTCTTGATATATTTTGAGATTTTTAGTCCCATTTTTAATTAATGTCTGCTGTATCAACCTCCCAGCCCTTTGAATGCGCGTTATCAGAAGACTTAGCACATTTGTTTTAAAAGGGTTATTGACGCCCGGCAACAATGTATTTGAAATATGCAAACTTAATGAAACGTTAGAAATCGAAGCCATTTTAATATCGACACAATTAGTTAACGTTCAACTTTAATTGTATTATATTTTGATGCGATTTGATTGTTGTTTTTTTTTTAATGTGACAAAAAAACAGACGAGGTGGCGGTTCACCTGATGTTAAGTGATAATCGCCACTCATAGACATTTGCAACATCCGTAGGGTTGCAGATGCGTTGCATTCTTTTAATAAAGCGGGGCCCGGGCTACAAAATATTCACTAAGTATTCACGTTACATATACAGAAAAATACGTCAATTATATACTGCGTGCATTTGTTTGAAACACTCGTGTGCTGGGATAGAGCTCTCGCAACGAGAACACTTGTATCAGTTCTCTTCTCTGCTCTGGAGCGTGGAGTGTACCTACTTGTGCCACTAGTCTGCCTTGACCTTCGACGACCCAATTGGCGTAGCGTATAGCGACCCTGACTCTTGCGCCGGGATGTGGGTTCGATCCCCACTAGTGGAAAAATATTGTGTTGCTAGCTGTTATCCGCGGCTTCACCCGCCTGGCCGAAGGGAATTAACAATGAGCTATATTATACACTACTTAGTTGACACATTATCACGTATATTTTGTACAATTCACACAATATCTTTATGTAATATATAGGGAGTAATATACTATTTAATATACAGGGATATTTTTTGAGAAGTGCCCAAATTTACACAGGAAGTTCAGACTCGGTAGTATAATCGTTTATTTAAATAAAAAAAAAAATTTTTTTTTTTCAAAAAAAAAATGCCATTCTTTTCCCTAAAAAACAGAACGTGTTGACAATGCGGTAGTCATTAATAAATACCTAAATTTTACTATTCACGCACCCAAACGAACTTGTGTGCGTGTTAGTTATGAATGATCGCGCGTAAAATAAATGAGTTGCCCATAAATCACGCACTTTTTGAGATAAGTTCAAATGAATGTAATTAATTACTTACGATTGATTTTAAATATTTATCATTTCTTATATAACATCATGTTTGTCTATAATTTAATAAAAAAAATGGATACACTTAGAAAAGCCACCTTGTATATTACAGCCTATGTATTATTCTGATGTATAAGCTGTATTATTGTAAAGTTTCATTAAAATCTATTTAGTAGTTTTTGTGTGAAAGAGTAACAATCATCCATCCACACATACAAACATTCGCCTTTATAATATTAGTAAGGAGTAAGGATGAACATAGTGTTTTTCTAGTGTTTCGGTGTATATCTGTAATGTACATTGTTACATATGAAAATTACGTTTAAGTGTTTTTATTAGTTACCTCGTGTCCATATTCAGCTTTGCTTAGTTTGCGACTAGATACCGTTATGTAATATGTACTGAAATATTAATTTATATGTGCTTTATATATTTTACTTGAATTCGCGAATTAATTCCGCTTTGAATCACTTACAAAAAACTGTGTTTGTGAGTGTCAAAGCTCACATGGTCTTTCACAGCTGAACATTGACAAAGTGTCCCCTACCCAGTCTGCTGAGTCTCTCAACAGCACCATGCATGGAGAGGCAGTACAACATACCCCCTGTCATAATGTAAAGATTTATAGTGATGAATTAGGTAGGAGTATGGGGTTGTTGCTTCACAATGTATGTAAGGGACAATTAGTTACTAATTTTTGTATGCCTGGAGCTACCTATTCTCAAATAATGAGGACTATCTTGACAAGTACTCATTGTCCCAACACCATTCTGATTGTATTAATTGGGAGACGGGGAAGTGTTAATAAACAACTCTTGCGGAACTATCATGATCAATTAACAAACTTAAATGTAAAAAAAATAATAATGTTCACACTTCCCTACATTAAGGGGTTGCCACAGGAAAATGATTGTAGACATAGCCTAAATAACAGCTTGTATATCCTTACAAATAATAATTATGTACCTTTGTACAATACCGACAAAATGAAAATTCACTTAATTGACATAAATAATATAATAAATAATAAATCAAATAGTTTGACATATGATAGGTACAACCTATCCAAATTTTTTATAAGACAGATAGCTCATGTGCTATCATATTGTATTTTTTTTAACCAAGCCAAATTATTGGCTAACCAGTCTGCTGTTTCTATTGAACAGCAAGGAGATATGACTAAAAAAAATTTGGAATTTGTTCCAATTAATTTAAATTAAATAACAAGACAACGGAGGCAATCTCAGGCACATTAATTATAAATAATTTGAATTATTGTAATAATTTAATGAATTGTCCAAGAATATTAACTAAAAATATAAATTATAAAAATGGCAATAATTGTATAAGCCTGGTGCATCTAAACATCCAAGGAATGCAAATAAAGATCTTGAAATTGAGTTATTCTTAAACAGCAATAATATTGACATTTTATGTATTACTGAACATTGGCTCTTTGATTATCAATTTATGTTTAACTTCAGATGTCACCAGGTTGCTAGCCTGTTCAGCAGAGAAAAAGCTATACGTGGTGGCTCTCTAATACTTATCAATAATGCTGTGAAATTTAAAAACCGTAAAGATATTGTGAGCCTCTCTGTTGAGCAGACTATTGAAATAGCCTGTGCAGAGCTTGAGCATTTCATTGTTGTATGCGTATACAAACCTCCTAGTGGGTTATATGAATCATTCGAAAATAGATTGGAAGAAATATTATTGAAATTATCTGAATCTAATAAATTTATCATTCTTGTCTGTGGTGACTTTAACATAAATCTTCTAGAAAATTCTACCACCACTATTAGATTCAGATCATTGTTAAATTCATATAACCTTTCTAACCTATTTTATGAACCAACTAGAATCACTACTTCTTCGGCAACTTGTATAGACAATATATTTACAAATTATGAACCAATCGATAAGTCAATTATTAATATGTTAAATTCAGACCATTGCGGACAACTTGCAATTTTTAAATTATATAAAAAAAGTAGTGATGATAAATTACAAAAAATAATGTTTGTTCCTGTAAATAGAACTCGTATTGAGAAGTTTAGAAGTAATATAACAAAAAAGCTGACATATTTACCTTATAATGACAGTCCAGATGCGCTTTACAACACATTATTTAAATTAATTAAAACTGAATTTAATTCTATATTTACTTCTAAGACAGTCAATCGTAAAAGCTCTGCAGTTTTCAATGATTGGGCAACAGTCGGAATTCATAAGAGTAGGCGTAGACTGTATGAACTGTATAATGAAAGGACATTCAATCACAGTAATTCTTTTGTAGCTTATGTTAGCGCCTATTCTAAAATATTTAAAAAAGTTTGTTATCTGGCTAAATCAATATTTATTAAAAATAAAATAAAAAGCGCATCTGATAAAATCAAAATGACGTGGAATATAATAAATAGTGAAACGGGTAGACTTACGAAGCGCAACTCTGACTTAACCTTAACTGATGGTATTAATACTATTCAATCTAATCAGGAGGTTGCCAATTTTTTCGAGAAATTTTTTGCTGACATTCCTGTTTCTACAAATAAATCACTTCTCTCTTCTCCGACAATTGCCGATTACTACTGTTAATAAGAACGATATCATAAAAACATTCAAATCTCTAGATATTAAAAGAACTGCTGATCTATGGGGGATCTCTGTCAAGGTGATCAGTTCTATAATTGATGTAGTCTCACCTTACTTAGCAACTATTTTTAATATTTGTATTCAACGTGGCGAGTTTCCTGACCTTATGAAACATAGTAAGATTATTCCGGTGTTCAAATCTGTTAGTACTTCTGACCCCAGCAATTTTAGACCTATTTCAGTACTACCGACTCTTAGTAAAATTTTTGAAAAAATTATTTTGAATCAAATGTTACTCCATTTTAGTACACATAAATTGCTGCATAACAAGCAATATGGATTTACTAGGGGTCGCTCAACAACAGATGCGGGTATCCAGCTTGTGAAGAATATTTTTGAAGCCTGGGAAGAGTCACAGGATGCCTTAGGTATATTCTGTGACTTAACCAAAGCGTTTGAATGCGTACAGCATGACAATCTGGTATAAGAGATGCCGCACTCAATCTTCTGACATTGTACTTGAGCTATAGTGTTCAGAGAGTTGACGTGAATGGCAAGAGATCTCCCGGGGCCTTGGTAAGTATGGTGGTTCCACAGGGATCTATTCTGGGGCCTTTTCTCTTCCTCATCTACATAAATGACCTGCCCTATCTTGTAAATAATGATCATGAGATAGTATTGTTTGCTGATGATACTTCTTTAATTTTTAAAGTTAAACGACATTCTTCAAATTATGACGACGTTAACAATACTCTCTCCACTGTAGTGCATTGGTTTAGTGCTAATAACTTAATGTTGAATAGTAAAAAAACGAAATGTATTAAATTTACAACTCCCAACGTAAAAAGTGTAAAAACTGATGTACTTTTACATGGGGAAGCGTTAGACCTCATTGACTCGACTGTATTTCTTGGCATAACCGTAGATGCCAAATTGCAGTGGGGCCCCCATATTAATAAACTGTCGAGTAGACTTAGCTCAGCAGTCTTTGCAGTCAAAAAAATTAGACAGTTGACTGATGTGGATACGGCTCGTCTGGTATATTTTAGCTATTTCCACAGTATAATGTCTTATGGCATTCTACTTTGGGGAAATGCAGCCGACATACATACTATTTTCATCCTGCAAAAGAGAGCTATTCGAGCGGTTTATAACCTGGGCCCCAAAGACTCACTAAGAAACCTGTTTAAAGAAATAAAAATATTGACTGTAGCTTCTCAGTACATACTTGCTAATGTTATGTATGTCCACAAAAATAAGAATGACTTTTCAAGATTTAGTAATGTGCATGATGTAAATACTAGGAACAAGCATAAATTAGTTCTACCCTCAACTAGATTGCGTAGAATAAGTAAATCTTTTATGGGACAATGTATACGCTTTTACAACAAAAACCCAGAAAACGTTCAAAATGAATCCGTTGCTAAATTCAAAAAACTTGTAAAGGAACGTTTGTGTGTTAATGGCTATTATAGTATTAGTGATTATATGAATGATAACACACTCTGGAAATGAATTGATCGCTCCAGGCTCTTTCAAGTGGAGTTTAATAGGAGTTTAATAATTGTACACATATTTGTAATTTTTTTGGCAAGTAAAAAAAAATAATGTCCCGCTGAGTTTCTTACGCCGGTTCTTCTCAGGTCATTGGCTTACCTTCCGAACCGGTGGTAGAGTTTTTTGACTATCAATAAGTAAGTGAATGCTTCTATATTGAATAAAGATATTTGACTTTGACTTTGACTTTGAATTCCAAATAGAGCGTACTAATGAACAGAACTATGTATTAAGGTCGTTGGTAAATCTTCTTCTTTCTTCTTATATATAAAAATGGATTGCTGTTCGTTAGTCTCGCTAAAACTCGAGAACGGCTGAACCGATTTGGCTAATTTTGGTTTTGATATATTCGTGACAGTCCAGGGTAGGTTTAAACGATGAGAAATTATGGAAAAATTGCATGGAAAATCGAAATAGCAACAATTTTATTTTCCCATACAAACTGTACCTGTCAACCTGTCAATAAAATTTTGAACGCGTTCCAATTCCTCTAGAAATAATTTATATGGCAAAACAAGGTTTGTCGAATCAGCTAGTATATGATAAAATAATCACGGTATATCATTTAATAAACATTTCAAAAAGTAGATGCAAGCAAGCGGTTCACGCGATGGTAAAGAATTGATTGTTTTTTGATTAAATTTTTGAGAAAGTGGCAAACGAGCTGGCGGTTCACCTGATGTTAAGTGATAACCGCCGCTCATATTTGCAACAACCGTAGGGTTGAAAATGCGTTGCCACCTTTAAATAAAGTGGGTCTCGGCTACCTTACTCGCCAGATGAAACGCAGAAGTGTAACACTTCTACCTTACGCTGGTCTTTTGCGAGGTGGTGGTACTTACCCGGACGGACCTGCCCATTCGTGCAACAGTGAAACTGTTACGTGGCTCTAACGCAGTTAAAATTTCTTAAAAACTATGCTTTATAAGCAAAGGTAATTTCGGGCGTTCTCTGAATTACTCCAAAGTCTGCAAATTTATTGCATTGTGAAATAAATGCATCTCAATTGTTTAATGTAACTTTTGGTGCACAGTAGGGGTGTCTGGAGAGGTCTCACAGAAGACCAGGGAGAAGTATACGTGTACATGTTGCCAAGTAAAGTGACTTAACAAACGTGTAACGTGTAGTAACTTAAGTAAATTAAACAGGCGCACCGTTTCAAAAATCGGCAACGTACTAATTTTTCGACAATCTGTGGACCCAATCTTCTTTATAAATAAAATTTTAGAGGTCTGTCTTTGTAAATTAATTCCTCTAAGTTTTATTTCTTTGATACATAGCCCGTATCTGACAATACTATGAATGAAATATGTTTAAGGTAAAGTTACTAAAGTTTTAAAAAACAACGATTTTTATAAGCACTTAGTGTTCAGTGAATGAAAGCACATATTTTATTGCCGCGGAGAAGTGGGGCAAGTGAAGTAGTTCTTAATATAATAAGCAGACGAAGTCGCGGGTATCAGCTAGTGATTTACGTACAGCTAGTGAGCTTTTCTAAAAACACGCCAAAGTCAAAATCCGTTAAAATTTCTTTATTCAATGTAGGCTTATTCTAGCTCTTCTTGGACGTCGAAAAACTACCACCGGTTCACTAAACTGCACCTGTCCAGAGAAGAACCTACAAGAAACACTGCGGTCTTATCTTTTTTTCTTTTCTTTAAGTACACAAAACACAAATGTATTAATAAATAAAAATGAATGTTGGTAAGCGCATAACTCAAGAATGGCTGGACCAATTCGGATAATATTTTTTTTTGTATGTTCCTTAAGGTCCGCGGAAGGTTTTAAATTTTAATACTATATAAAAAAAACGAAGTCTGTCCGCGCAGCTAGTTTAAGTATAAAGTTACCAGCGGCCAGGGGGCTTACGAGTGCAGATCAAGAGTCATCTCCACACATCCTCAATGTGTTCCACGGCGTTATGATGAAGGGCCCTCTTGCAGGTACTGTTCCGCAAGGTGATGGGCGAGGTGAACTCCGGCCAGCGGGCGCTGTTCTTCACCATCCTGGGGACGGTGAACGCCTCGCTGTTATGGCCCGTCTGCCTCGCGCTCTACCTCGCCGGCTCCGAGAGTCTGCCGACCCACAAAATGCCCTGGCTTCACCTGCTCCTGGCCAGCGTCGCACTCCTCGGTCGGTAGATTGGATTCCTCCTCAGGAATCACCTGAGGGCCCGGAATTTTCTTTAGTAGCTTAGAATTAATTCGCTACTCTGTTTTTTTTTTTTTTTTAAAACATGGTCCTTACTTTAGGATAGTATTATCCTGTGTTGTAAGGACACTTTACAAGTACCCAGATCCGAAACAACCATCGGTGGGTCACACAAACAGTTGACCCGTGTGGGAATCGAACCCACGACTTTCGACACCGATGCCATCAAATGTGAATGAAAACTTCATGTGTTTCCATGTCGCTGCATCTGATGCGTGGTTTGATCTCTTCGACATATCGATCACGTTACGATATGTTATTTATCACTACATGGTATAAACTAAAGTCGTCTCGCTGTCTGTTTGTCTCTATGTATGCTTAGATCTTTAAAACTACGCAATGCGATCTTGGTGCGGTTTCTCTTTACCAGATAGAGTGATTGAAGAGGCAGTTAAGTAATGGTTTATGTATCATCACCCGTGCGCAGCCGGGGCGGGTCGCTAGTTAAAAAAAAAAAGAAGTTTGACTAATTCCTTCCCCCCTTTTTACAGTGTTCCACCTCGTGTTCCAGTTTGGCAACATCCTGACGTACAACATTTTCGTATCGCTCGGTCTGATCACAGCCGTTCCCGTATCAGCAGGTCCTTAACCTTAGTCTTTTCGATCTTCTTCCTCGGCTTCATATACCGTTATGTAGTATTCGTATAGTATTCGTATTTGTAGGGCCTGGTGGATCAGTGGCCGCGTGTTTGCTCGGTGAAAAGCTGTTTTTGCTTCAAATCCCGGCCAGGTGTAAAAAGAAACGTGTAGTTTAGGAAATAACCTTAAAACCAAGATAATTATCATCATCGCCATCATTTCGCCTGTTTAAGTCCACAGCCGGACTTAAACAGGTTGAAATACTATACATCCCCGTAGACTGCCACGAAGCACGATCCTCCGCCGCCTAGTTTTAATAATGGAGCAATGAAACTATAAACCCTCTGTGGTAGGACCACACAACAGTATTCACTGTTGCACGAATGGGCAGTCCGTCCGGGTAAGTACAGCCACCTCACAGAATATCGCCGTAAAGTAGTAAGGCGTAAGTTAAGTCACTACTTGGCAACATGAACACTTATAGTTCTCCCTGGTCTTCTGTAAGACCTCTCACAAAAGCGTCTCTGCACACTGCGCCACATAAGGATTTCTACACACTACGCCACAAAAGCGTCTCTGCACACTGCGCCACATAAGGATTTCTACACACTACGCCACAAAAGCGTCTCTGCACACTGCGCCACATAAGGATTTCTACACACTACGCCACAAAAGCGTCTCTGCACACTGCGCCACATAAGGATTTCTACACACTACGCCACAAAAGCGTCTCTGCACACTGCGCCACATAAGGATTTCTACACACTACGCCACAAAAGCGTCTCTGCACACTGCGCCACATAAGGATTTCTACACACTACGCCACATAAGGGCCTCTGGCGATTCTTCAATCCAAGCCACATAAAGCTCTCTACACACTACGCCACATAAGGGCCTCTGGCGATTCTTCAATCCAAGCCACATAAAGCTCTCTACACACTACGCCACAAAAGCGTCTCTGCACACTGCGCCACATAAGGATTTCTACACACTACGCCACAAAAGCGTCTCCACACTACGCCATAAAAGGGTCTCTACACATTGGGCGACATAATTCCATACATTGCGTCGCATAAGAGATTCTGCAAACTGAGCCACATAAGGCATTCTACTATGCCACTGCGCCATCTAAGGGTATCTTCACACTGCACCGTATAAGGATTTCTACACACTACGCCACATAAGGGCCTCTGGCGATTCTTCAATCCAAGCCACATAAAGCTCTCTACACACTACGCCACAAAAGCGTCTCTGCACACTGCGCCACATAAGGATTTCTACACACTACGCCACTCTCTCTTTCTCACACTGCTCCTTCCCCGCGTAATGCCGCTCGCGTTAATATTAAATATCGCGTTCAGGTGGAGCCGGCGGCGGCAGCGCGGCCAGCCGGGCGCCGGGCGCAGCCGCGACGCGATGGACTACCGCACCGGCTACATCCGCTCCCACCTGCGCTCGCCGTCCGGCCGCGTCAGGTGACCGCCCACCACCACCGTCACCACCACCACCACCGCAATCGCCACCGTCACCGTCGCCGTCGAAAGCGCGCTCCACGTGTGACTCGCCACCGCCACTGCTGAGGGTTGCGCCTCTCTGGACACGGCGCGTTCAAACGACCGACGGCGACGTTGCCAGCCCTGATTATCACGAAGAAACACACATACACACACACATGCTTGATGCTTCTACTGTGTATGTGTATGTCAGTGCGAGTGCGCGTGTGTGCGCGTGTGTGCGTGTGCGCTATCACCTCAGTTGGGCCAACTACCGCCGTCGCAAGTGCGCTCGTGTGACCGACCACCGCCACTAGTGACGACTCAGTGCCTATAGACTTTTACGTTCTTCAGAATAGCTTCACGTCAGCCGAGGCCGCAAATCGCCCCGACCATCACCGAGGAACGCGTGCTCCCGCTGTGTTCGCAGACGTGGTTCGCTTCGAGTCGGCAACTTGTAATACTCTGTGCAGACTAGACGGGAGAGTATGATCGTATAGGTGCAGTGGCTCTGACACACCATGGAACATCACCGGCGCGGCATCACCAACCGGACGTCAGCTGCAGGTGCCACGATACGAATGCCATCAGGTTTAGAAACCTATCTGTTTTTGTTTTTGTAATTGTAGGTACAGTTGTTCACCTTCAAATGACCTTCGGGTTACTCTCTGATGCACAGAACGTTTTGTTTCACCTTCGTAGTGCGGCTTAAAGATGTCAATATGTGTCTGAAAGTTTGATTTATAACTGAAATTCTGTTCATTTGGAAGTTTTCAAAATCCGTTTCCTAAATGATGAATGTTTCCTAGTTTAGAGGTAACAGCCAAAGTTAAATTCATAAGAGTTAGTCGCATTGACTTAAAGTTTTCGAATATGATGTGCACACCATTGTGCTATTGTTAAAATAACACAGTTTTAAATAATTTCGCAATATTTGTTAGGTTTATATATATGAACGACTGTTACTTACAAGGGTGGAAATGGATCGATGATTTACAGTCTTCGTGATCCTTACACGCCATATAGCGTCATTTATAAGTGGTGATGAAACACCTCGTGATTCAGTTTTCGCAACTTTTATGAAGGAAATTTAAACGGTTATATTTCGAGGGCGAGAAGCGTTCATTACGGTCTAATTTGTGAGGAAACATCTAGATGTTTCCTGGGTACGGAAGTAGCATTACATAAAATATAACATACAGCTGGGAAACTTTAACAATATTTAATATTAATTTAGTAGAAAGGACATTTTTTTCGCAGTGTTTCCAATTTCGTTTTCGCATAAATAAATTCCATTCCCGGTTAGATTTATTTTTTATATTTGTTCCTGCCTCCGTTATGATCTGTTAAATCACTATTTATAAGTCTTCGCTGTGATTGATCGTCTACGGACTTTGCCCTGTTTATAATTTTTTGTTGTTAAATGTAGTTTCGCATTGAATCTAGTCACTACTTAATATATTTTACTAAGTTTATAATAAATAAGTTATTAATTTGAAATAGATTTGTTTTATATGATGTTTTGTTGAATCTAGTCACTAAAATTAAGCTTGTCTTTGTAATTTTTTTATGTTTATTCTTCATTCGCCGATAGGGCTGTGACTTCTTTGAAATCCTTATGCTAAAGTGAACGTGAAAGCGTCGAAATAACATATAGGTTCGATTCGTTGCAACTATCTTGATCGGTCTACAAGTGAATTAGAAAATAGAAACTGTGTAAATTAGAAAATAGTAAATATTCGCGGGCTATAACATAAAAAACCCTACCCCAAAGTGTTGGAGGAACACGCCCAAACATCTGTACATCGTACTTTGTACGAACACGTATGGTTAGAAAGTAAATTTGTTATCTTATGGTACGGAAATACTAATATAGTTATGCGGATAGTCCATCTTCGGGTCTCATGAATCTAATATACTCCAAGAATTAAATTCTTTAATCAGAAATTATCAAAAGAAATTAGTTATTTAACAATATCCGGGATATAGTTATGTAGAAAATTACCTTAATTAATTATTATTTTTCTTTAAAAAAAAAAAGACATTGCCCTTACTTTGGGATAAAATTATCCTGTTTTGTAAGGACGTTTTACAAACATAAATTTAACTAGTCAACATCTAATAATTTACAGTTTATTTCGCGCGAAAATTTCTATAACTGTTACACCAACCAAGCAGAAAATAAATATATCTTAGCAATCAAGCGTCTCATCACAATATTTAAGCGTAATGAATTGTTTAAAACCTGTTAAAGAAGTATTTAGAAGAAATTCGTTAGCTCGTTGTTCGTAATTACAAAGAAAAAAGTATGTTTATAATTATTTAAATTTATACTTGTCGTCTCGTCGTCGTTTAAAATAAAAAGATCGTGACAACGCGAAATGGATGAAGCCTGTCCACCTTCCACTCCTCAGCATTTATATTCTATTTTGTTTAGATAATAATTGTTTTTTGTGTGGATATGTATGAAAGGTTTTTATGTGAATGAGTTAAAACCATTGGCGTTTAGGTTAAAAGGAAAAGTTGTGCAACACATTGACTATCGGCCGGTTTCAATATTGAATCTACGGATAGATTTGGTTACTGGAGATATAATTTTGACGTAAGTAAGTACCGTAACTAAATCTCTTTATAGATAGGATAGTGGAAGCGGCCGTAGACGGATGTTTGGTGATTTTCAGTTGAGTTTTTTTGGTTTCGATAGCTTTTTTCTTTAGTTCGGAATTTGTTCTTTTTTGGGTATGAAAGAGTTCTAGAATTCCTTCAGTGGCCTCCCGCAGACCGTTCCGATCTCCACATGTCCCAAGTTTATCCCCAAGGTCTGTGTGAACGTATGAGGTTTAATTAATTCGCTTTAGTTACAACCTTCAGTGTTGTCCGCCGTCTCCGATATTGTTTTCGCCTGTTCTTACTTTGGTAACCCTGTCTCAGAGCCGTGTTCAGCAAATGTGTTCGCGTGTGTGTGTGCGTGTGTACGGTGTGTGTTGTTCGCGAGTAATTGGCAGAAACACTCGTTACTTTAAAATGAACTCGCTGTTGCTCAATTACCGCCATATTGAATCAGGAAATGGTGATTTATCTGACGACGTTAAACCAATTAACCCGTATAAACCTTTGCCATGTGAAGATACATATTTGAAGGTAAGATGGAGGATGGGAAGTTGTCTATGAAATTCATAGACATTCTTTTATGATCGGTCGCAACTAAATAAAAAAATGAAATTTTCAGTTTTATAACATAAATACTTTTATACACATATCGGAGTCGCAGTGTCAGACACTATTTTAAATTATCGAAATACTACTTCATGAGGCACATAGATTTACTAGTTAGTCCCTTGTGCAATTGACAAAGTTACAGTATGAGTGGTTGCACAACCCGACAGTCTATAAACGCTTAACTTGCGTTAAATCTATCAAGTAATAACGACCAGCGGACAATGAAACGAGTTTAGATCAGATTTCGATAAGCACCTGAACCTAGGTGCTGATTGAAGTCTCTGACATCGTACTAGAAATTGTCGTTTGGCGCAATGAAAGGACGCTACAGATTATGTAAAATTACTATGTAATTAAGTCTTCATGACGAATGTGTATTTCAACCGTTTAGAAACCACCATCCACCCTACCTGGATTTGGGTTGGTTGGTTGGTTTATTGTAGCCATTTTTATAACAAAATATTAATTATTATAATTACTAAAACTATAGACAACAGTAAACATATAGCGATAGTAACATCTAAGGACCTTTATAATATTAACTCAGTCGAATATCTGGATAGATAAGACTCCTCTTGAATTTAGATATTTGAATGTACCTGCAATCGTAATATAATTGATACATTCATCTAAGCGTAGCCCCAATGTAAAGTAATTTCACCTTTTAATATCTTATCGCATGCGTAACTTTTACTCTGTTCTTTGTAAGTGGGGGCATTATTGAGACCCGAACTGGTTACACGAATAATGAAAGCCAATCGCTTTACCTAGCCACTGCGCCAACCGAGCCGTAACATGTATGTATAAAATTAAACATGTCAATGTCTATAGAATCTGCAAATGAAACTATATGTGCACTATACACTTAGGAAAATGAATGACGGATAAAATATTAATATGTATGTATAAGGGTATTATTGTAATGGATAAGAAAGAAATTATTCTGTCGATAAAACGTAGAGATGTAATTGTTTTGAGATTTATACATTAAGGAAGATGGGGAGGATTAATTTATAGTCTATAGTAACTGTGAGCGTTATTTCGTATTGAAATAATGTGTTTATAGTTGCTCGAATGACGAATTGTTCTTTTAATTTAGTTTTTGTATTAAATTCAGGGTATGAGTTGTGCATGTATTAATGTTTCGACTGGTTAGTCAAAGTATTTAAAGTCGATAAAACGCATTTGCGGAGTCTGTCACTGCAGACGCTTTTGTTTTCTTACTTTATAAGCGGCATTTTATTTTAAATGGCTACCTATAGGACGTTGCTAACAACGGCTACGTTATAATTAACTAAGATTTGCTAGTTATTGTTCCAAAATGTTTTATAAATAACATCTATCATCGATCAAGCACAGCACGAATTCTACGTACTTGAGAAAAGTTGTCCGATTACATTCAACCGTTGGAAAAAGTTGAAAGTGTATTTAATTTGATGCAATTTTAATGTATTGTATATGTTTATTGTACAGCCATTGTTTCGAGTGATTTAACGTATTGGGTGCTTTTTACGGTTACAAGAATGTTTGTTGTCATCTATTGTAGTTGCTTTCACATTTGTGCGAATGGTATTCTGTTGGCGATACACTATGTATATGTTTCGTGCGAACGGTAATTTTGTTAGGCACAGACGCTCTCTCTTGGTTCGAACGAAGACACAGTCATGGTGAGAAAAATGCGCAAACGTTTCAATAGTTTTAGGAAAATTTTGTCGGTATATAATTGTAATTGGAAAGAAGTCTCGTTCGAAGTTGAAAGAGCGTTTGCACGCCGACTATCAGCTCAACGTTTCTTTGTGATTTGCGTTTCTACGGTAGTTACGTCGTAGATTATATAAATATTACTTGTAGAGTAATTGAACGATTTGTCCGTTCGTAAAGGCAATAAATCATCTGATTATGTAAATCAATTATGTCAGTTATTGTTGAAGGCGAATATTTTACAGTACGTTGTAACGGATTAAGCATCCACTCTATATGTTAGGAATTTTTAGGTGAGAAATATACACAAGGATAATTTTAGGACAACACTAGAAAGGGTAGTAATAAAAAAGTCTAAATTCACATAGTCTGTAAACAAGATTTTTTACATTGGTTACGTATCCTCCAACCGAAGTCTATTGATTGAGTTTTAATTAGAGAATTTTTAAAGACTGAAATTATTAAATGGTATAATTGACTTATATTTCAATTACGCGGTCATTTATATGAACGTTAGATTTAGCCTTAGTTTATACTTGATGTCGTGCGTAGAGTATTAGGGTCGTTTTTATCTATGTATAACAGTTATAGTACTCAGCTATGATTAGTACACGTCCACCTTTGGAAAGAAATAATTCGATTTCGTAGTTATCTCTTCGTTATCTCTTTAACACTAGCACTAGTACGAACCGGATTGTGAATGCTTTGTGTGAAAGAGATACGTTATACGAGGCGTTTTTCTCTTTTCAATGGTCGACGTGCAATATTTATCGCAGAGTACCGTAAGTCTAGTTTATAGAAACGGTTCGTATTATAATTTTGTTGGACGGACCTCGATAGCGACTACGAGATAAAACCTCGGCCCCTGTGATTCATTTTGTTGATACGTAGAGGTGATTTGTTGGTCATTAAATAAAATTTGACACAAGTTTCACGTTTTCCCTTTAATATCCTGCCCCATTTTATCTATAAGTTAATGTAGAGAAAGCCTCACACACTTATGATGGAAAATGTAGCTTCCATATACGGCTTTGTTTGTTAAGAGATGCTAAGTTCTAGTAATTACATCATTATATTATGAAGATCAGCATCTATTTAACCTAAGTGGGGTCGGCAGAAAGTGTGAATCATGTTGTAAGCGGTTTTGGCTATGTTTGTACGACCGGCCGCCTGCCTGACGTCAAACCGCCTTGGAAACAAACACACAGATCCGGAACAGTTGTACGTGCGTCATACAAGTACTTGTCCCGTGCGAGAATCGAACCAACGAACCTCGAAGCCAATATCTTAGCAACGGCGCCACAGTTACAATTGCATGAATTGCCAACATTGTCAACTTACAAGAAAAGTTTTTGAATAGCGCGATGCACACTACTTATGCATCTAAAATACTAGTAACGTTTAATAATCAATCCTTACTAATATTATAAAGGAGAAAGTTTGTATGTATGGATGGATGTTTGTTACCCTTTTACGCAAATACTACTGAATGGATTCTAACGAAAATCTAAATTAAAATATAATAATAAATATAGCTTATACATCAGAATAAGAGATAGGCTATAATTTATATACATATTTTTATGTATATATGTCTTTCTGTCTGAATGTTACGTCTTCAGCCTAGCAGACGTAATCGCGGGCAGCAGCTAGTTATACATATTGATAAAAAAAAAGAAAATAACAGTATTTCGTAATTGGACTATAAAAGCCAGTCTTGTTTATTTCTTAACCAAATCTTATAATTTCCCTAAAACTATGTATGTATGAACTAATTGTTCCTGTTGTTGACCCGGTCCCATCGCCAGATGGTGCCGTCGTCGCAGCAAGTCAACAGCACTGTACCGTTACGCGACAGCGTGACCTGGAATGCAATCAAAATTAATATACACCGAGTTGTAAAACAAATAATAAGTAATTTCAATTTCATAGCGGAATATGGCATTGGAACGACTTCGTTGTATGTATACGGGATAACGCAAGATGTTACCGCAAGATGTAACCCCATGGTATAAGATCGCGACTCGCGTTTGAGGACGACACTCCGCGCAAGTTATAGTCCCATTATCCAGGAATATATATTCAGAAACTGATCTTGGAATTGTCGGACTACCTACAAGTTGCGATAGAACGACCGATACCCGCAGTTCCTTCACCCTAGTCACTGGAAAGAAGAGAAGGCATCATGTACGCGCCAAAAACATGACACAAGAAAGTTCGTCCAGAAAGTCCGTACCTGCTCCCTAATGGAGGATAGCAAAAACGTAACGTAGCGTATGTCCCATCTTAGGCAAAGAGCAATAATGAGGATTGGCAGACCACATCTGATCTAAACATTTTTATTTAATTAACAATTGAAGAAAATGAAGTAGTCAACGAGACCAAATCTCAAGTTTATTCAATGCTGAGACGTCATCGTCGCTCACCAAGTCGGGTAAATATGTTTGAATATATCTACTAACCGAACTGGGTCTTACCCAAGGGCCAAGGGAGTGCGCGAAGAGCCACCTAGAATGTTTTTTTTTTTTGTAGAACCGATGTTACGCTTTCAGTCCTTTATTAAAGCTTCATCGAAAGATGAACCGGTGGGCTAGCCAGAACCCAAGGGTTTGAGGCCCTCCTCAGTGGGTAGGGCCGCGTATGTGCTCATGCACCTAGAATGTGTTAGATTATGGCTCAATGCCATAACTATCAACTATACGGGCACAGCACTAGCATATTTTTGCCCATCTAAAATGCGTCAAACGCGCCAGCAACTTGGTACTGTGGAGTGTCATGATGCCTGGGCAATTAATCGTGCTGTCGATATAGTAAACCGCCTGATTCGCTTCACCTCGAACAATCACCCTGACAACTGTCGTCTCTGTGACAGACCTTTAAGACCTTATAACAATAACCTTGTCCACTGAGCCCAACACAGTGACCGACCGGATGCCGAAGTAACAGCTTTCTAGGCCACATGTGCAAGGTTTTATTAATCCGTCCAACGTCGCAGCGAATTTTCCGTTAGAGCGGTAACAATAAACATCAAAAGCAGTACCGAGGTTCCTCCGTGTTACTGGTCAGAGATCTAAACTTCAACAAGATCAAGATATATATGTATATACAACTCAAAACTGTTCAGACTACAACTGTTACAGCTAAAACGATTGTCAAATAGAAATGTGGGGCTCCCAAATAGACGTAAATTTATAACACCGCAAGAAGTCTTCTGCCGCTGCGAGGATATGAACCTACGTCCTCCGTGTTTATAGCCCGATGCTTGACCCTCTGAGCTACACTGGCATATCTTCACACATACGAACACCTCAACGTAATTATCTACGATATTTTTATTGCATCTTAAACAATGCCATCTAGTGTTTACAGCAAACGACCATTCATTTCACAATGAAATTTTTATATAGCAGTAATTAAAAAAAAATCAAGCCAACGCGAACCAAATCGTGCCGTAATTCTAATACAATACTTACCAATGGCAAATTAAAAAAAAAAGAAATAGAACAATTAGTTCACTTTTTCAAAAAGTTCCCAATCAGCTGTTGGATCATAAAATTCTCCTAGTGTTGTTCGCATGCTTACTTGTTCGTCTATTTAACGTGTTCCACTCCAGCTGTTGTTTCCAAATTGCATCAAATGAGGCCGGTATTCCAAAGTCGTAGTCGCGAAATGTCGCCTTTAACTATCAGCCGATTAGTCTCCTCAACTGTATCAGGAAATTATATGAACTAGTACTCATAAACAAGTTGAAGATTACCTGTACTCCAATAACACCGTAGACAAATTTCATATTTCGACCATTTCAATCTGGAGCCTAGTAAATACTTATTTCGTTATGTGGCAAATATGCAGACGGTTTCAACACAATGCCTAACGAAAAACGAATAGCTAAAATCAATCCCATGACCTTAAAGCATGGATGCTTCTTTGATGTCTCTAATGCATTTGACAATGTTTGGCACAAATACTTGCCGAACTGTCTTAACTCATTCTGCAAGGCGGACTCGTTTGCATCATGAGCACTTTACAACATTTCGGTATCGAATGGAAAGCACCAAACCGTGCTTTTTAAGGAAGTGTCCCTTAAGGTGCGTTAATTTCACCGCTACGATTCGTAGGTCCGAGTAAAGGCGAACGTTTACCAAAGCAGAAGTAATAATGCCAGGCCGAAACACATATGTTGCTCTTCACTAAGTGAAATGAACACTGTACAGCGTGCTCTATCTACTCACGTCGCCAGGGATCAACTCCCCTTATCCAAGGTATACCGGATGCATTTTTCAATTCCTGGGCTGAAGTAGTTATGCACCAGCAAGAGATCGTCCAACGGAAGAGCCGTTCGGAGACGAAGGCGCCGAGCCGACAGAAACGGACGAGCCACCTCGTCAGCCCTTAGTCTTGGGCTCACAGAATAGGGCGTGACTAAGGTATCCCCCGCCTGCCTTAAAAGGCGACTAAAAAGGGACACCAGATTCGTGGACAACCGAGAAGGGCCCTGGTTGTCTTTATCAGTGAACCCGATAGGGTCGGCAAGACGACGAGGGAATTGGGTAGGCTCAGGTCTTCCCCGAAGCGAGTCCAAGCGCAGTACAGAGAGGCATCGATGCATTCCGTAGCAGATCCCGGAGTACCCTCAACGAACTGAGGGTGGAAGATTTCTCCTCCGAATCCAAAAAAAATATTCCTGGACGATTTTCACCGTCAGCCCACTGGTCGAGGGTTGTTGTAGTCAAGGATTATTAAATACGCCGAGATTTAGTTATAGTTTGCAAGCAAAAACCCTATTAATTTACCGCGAGCCGTTGTAATTTAGGTTGAAGTAATTTTCAATTTCTAAATTACAAAATTACATGCGTCTGGAAACACTTAAAGCCAATACTATATTTAATAATTTAAAAGATTCATAACTTCGGAATTCCAGTCCACGACAGAAATTCCTATCACAGGAACGACGATGCACGGTCCAAATACGAAAACCTTCGTCATTTTTCATACTCATTGCTTTATCCAATCGTGGATTCTTACTAATCCATGAAAGAGCTACAATTATTGCAGATCACGAAGCTGGCTATGATGTTAGCGAAATATCTTCTCATCATAATATTACTAGGCACTGTAAGGCCTAAGGGACTGTCTGGATCAAGAGACATGCATTAGAGGGTAATCTTACTAATCACTGCCGTACTATTTCTTGACGCCGCCGCCGTCCTACCCTTGGACAAAAATTATATGAGTCGCCAATATGGGGAAAATTGTTTTATAAAAAATAAGTTATTTCGCTGAAAAATTACTACCGGGAGTAATATCGTACACTATGAGTACTTCGTCACCGATGGTTCTAACTGCTCATAAAGTGGAATGCTTATATTTTGCCTGAACATATTTCAATTGGAGCCATACTTTTTTCTTTCGAATGAAAACAGACTACACTTGTAGAGAACGAACGGAACGAGGTATCTGGAGGGCTACTTGTGCCAAATTTTAGTTCTGGACGCGTATCTGCCAACATTTCGGATTAGATCTTGGCTGATGGATTAGGCCTTGTTGACCCTCCGTACCTACCCTACAACTCTTGGAGAGCAGTGCTTCCAAACAATTGTTATTTCCAACTGATGAACTAACAGATTCCAATTATGTCCAGGACAATGCCCCCATGCACACAACTCATATCGTGAATGGTACCATCGGCTACCTGATTCCTTGTGCTGGAAAATCAACGAATATAAATCCCATTGAATATATCTATGGTAAGTAAGGGTTTTATGGAGCGGTGGAGAATAACGAAAGCACCCAGGCAGCTATCGCACAGCATTGCCGATGTGTTCGGGTGGGTTTCAGAGGAACTCTTGCCTTATTGGCTCAATGCGAAGCGACTATAATCTGCAGATTGCTGATTTACTTGTTTTTAATTAAGTTTTGTTTATTTTAATAAATTTTACCATAATAACAACTACTATTCATTTTATATCTTTAAAAACCAATATAAAATACCCAATATTTCTTATTAAACGAAACTTTTAGTATTTGTTGTTACAGCGGCAACAGAAATGCATCGTCTGTGAAAACTTCAACTGTCTAACTATCGCAGTTAATGAGATACTATAACACATATAGCCTGGTGCCAGACGGACTGACCGACACGCAGTCTCAGTAATAGTGTCCCGTTTCACCCTTTCGATACGGAACCCTAAAAAGACTATAGTCTATATTCACCTGTCGCACTGCGGCAACGCACCGCGGGTGAACCAGCTGCGAGACGCGCGAACCACCCGCCACGTTGCCAAGTTCCCACACCATCGTCTTCCCGCACTGGTTGCCCAACGCTATCACCTGCAAACGGTACTCGAAATTGTGGCACGGCGGGATAGTTGACATTTAACTCAGTCTATACATGTCCCACTGTTGGGCAAAGGCCTTCTCTGTGCAGAGAGGTATCAGGGCATAGTCCCCCACGCGGCCCCACTGCGGATTGGCGGACTTCACATATCTTCGAAAAAAAAATTTTAATTTTTAGCCCAACCAAAATAAGACATATTTCCATTCCATTCAGCACAGTAACTAAATAAACACCATTAAAGAACCATTTTTTTTGTTATTAATTCGAAAATATGCAGGTTTCCTCACGATGTTTTGCTTCACCGCTGAGCACGTGATAATTCAGCACTTAAAATTAACAATTTCATTAGTGCCGGCACCGGGGATCGAACTCAGGTTGCTCGAGTATATTAAATTAGAGGCGAACGCCCGCCCGGACACTGAGCTATCACGGCTATTTAACTAACCCAACCAATTGACACAAATAAGTCCATATTTTTACTAACGACAACCAAAACCGACTTCAAATATCTCGCTCTGTATTCATTTTATAATTGACTAGCGACCCACCCCGGCTACGCACGGGTGCAATGTGTTATACATATAAAACTTCCTCTTGAATCATCCGTTGCGTTTTTAGTTTTAATTTTAAAGATCTAAGCATACATAGGGATAGACAGACAGCGGGACGACTTTGTTTGATGCTATGTAGTGATTTTCAGGAGTTGCCTAAGTATTTCCGGAGCCCAAGATCCAAAACCGTAAGTACCGTGATAACAAAAAAAATACAGTCGATTTGAGAACCCCTCCTTTTTTAAAGTCTGTTCAAAATTACATTAAATTACATCTAAGAGCCATCGCGAACACGTCGGCTTTAAAAAAAAATACCGCGCCATAATCGGTCCATTCATTTAGAAGCTACGATGCCACATACTACATACTCTTTTAAAGTCGGCGCTTATAAATAATAAGCAGATATAAATTAATACAAATTGCATCTGACCCACGTTTCGTTATTTCAATGTTCCTTTCTTTTTAAGAGCTATATGAGCATGTTTCCGTAAGTCATCACTAAAAACCACATGGCGATGATGATGGTAACTAACTAAAAAATATTTTTTATATCTTTCTTATATGGGGTATTAACCACGACACGATGCCGAAACCAGCTGAATTGTAACGCTGTTTGTTACACGCTGAATAACTACGTGACGCAGTTGCCAAGGTATTGGCTTCGGCGCCGGAGTATCTTGTATTAACTGATGTTTGTGCTTTAAGTCCAGAGACTATTAAAGCTTCATCTGACGCAGAACCGGTGGGCTAGCCAGAACCCACGAGTTTGGGCCCTCCGCTGTGGGTAGGGCCGCGCATGTGCTCATGCGTGCGTTTAACTACGGCATGTCATCTAAGGGCCATCGAAGTAGTGGTGCGGACCGGGACCCCGATGGCCGTCGACTGTGTTTTTAGCTAATCCGGCGGGACCCCCGACGGTGGGTCCGACGTACCTAAGTCCCCTTCCCCGACCGGGTCGATGAGGACGTTTCGCGGACGACGCTTGTTGACGCTCGCGTTTGGATCGGGTTGATAATTTGCTGCGCTTACCACCAGAGGGTTGGGATGATGTTCGGCTCTATCGAAGAACCGATTGGTCAGGTCTTTGAAAAATTGCGACATCGAAGAAAAGAGCCCCCGTGCTAATATGTTTAGGGTGATTTAGGCCTTTTAGGATATGTTCCGTTAGGCGGTATAATTGATCGGGACAGGAATGTCTTGCTCGAAAGCCGAATTGTTCCGCCGGCAGAAGGCCGTTGGAAAACACGGCGCCGGAGTTCTTGGGTTCGAATCACACATGAGACAAATATTTCTATGAACTACAGATAATTATTTCGTACCTGGGTGTTTGTCCACGAAATGTTTGTAAAACACCTTCAACACAAGATAACTTTATTCTACAGTAAGGGGCAATGGTTTCGAAGGGAAGACTACAATAGATCTTCTAAGTATCAGTGGTCGTTGGGAATTACTACCAAACGTCTTCCACACAAAATACAATACAATACTTACCCGCTGGCTGTAGTCGACTGCGAAGCGTATGAACCAAATCTCGCATTCCTTATAGTCGAAGCGGTGCACAACGGTGACAGCCGCATCTCCCGGCCTGGGCTCCGCATCCTCCAGGCGGCCAGGCTTCCAACAAATTATAGCGTTCTCACAAGACTGAAAGTTAAAAAGATTAATTAATACCCGTTTTATTAGTATTCGTTGAGGATGGTATTTTTTAGCCCAAAGGAAGGGGAGCGAGCAGATGATTTAATTGATGTTGATTGATTACTGCCTACCATGAACCCCTCAGGTGTTAAATATATAGCAACTTGAGGTGATAAGATTCATTAGCGACCTATAAAAAAGTGGACACCTCCGACTTTGCACAATATTAAAGTTCAGTTCTTTGAAAAGACAACTAAATTTGTTTGCTCATTCACAGTTTTTTTGCAAGTTTAGTTCCTTGAAATTTGATTAGATTTTGCCTAGACTGTCTTTGCCATAGAAACAGTAGCCACGTGAAAAAGTAGCTTAAGGGCAACTATCATTATGCTTCACGGAAAGCCAAAGTTCACAAATAGGAAAAGGATAGTGGTCAAAAATTGGCAGTTTAAAAACATCACATAGTGCTTACTTTTACGAAACTGATCATTGTAGAAGTTAACTAATCAGCTGTCAAATGGCTTTTCAAATGTCATTTGTGTAAAAACTAAAAGGATGTTTAAACTATTTTAATTGATCATTAAGAAGATCATTCAATATCCAAATATATACATTATACAATGAACATAATTAGTTAATAATAATATATTTTGTAGAACAGAGTAATGTATAGAACTTTTACCTTAGATAAAATTAAATCACCCATCCATCTTACGCAATCAACATAATTCCTGTGTATGTCACGCGTTGAGAAATCTGGAAAATGTTCTTTCAGGGAATTGAACGGTCTCAGTGCTCTATGTGGATTGAAATTGTAACTTTGTTTTATTGCCTCATTCATAGAGGGCTTATCAATCCTCCATAATTTTAAAGAATGGTCCATTCCACATGACATAATTCTTTCACCTTTAAGATCGAAATCGGCACTAAGTACCTCGTCTCTGTGGCCCTCAACACCACCAAATATGGCAATGCAGACATCAGTCATAATATTCCATAGCCTAAGAGCATGGTCCTTGCTAGCAGAGAGTAAGAGATTTGGGTCTCGAGGATGAAACTTCACCTCATTTATAGCATGACCGTGCCCAATGTAATGCTTGATGCAAGTGTGCGTTGCTGGGTGAAAAATACGCACAATACCTCTTGACCCAGCAACAGCTAAAAGGGGTAGGTTAGTTTCTTCTTCATAGGACCATGCACATGTGTAAAATGTTTCATCAACCTGTGAAAGAATTTCTTTTTTGTTACTATTTGATATATCATTCAGCAGGTATCTGAGAAGTATGTCAGGTTTGTGGCGAGTCTTCCATACTAACATCGGGATCAGCATAGCACTGCAGGAATTTAAATCCTCCTGACTCTGGGCATTCATAAATAGACACTCTGTTGCTTCCTACTACAGCAAATATATTTGGTTCTCCATCTCCCAAATGGTGGTTAAATTGACAACCAAACAATGGTTGTCCATGGTCCTCTTTTGCACTACAACTGTTAATAAAAACAAATTAAACAGGTATGTATAATGTATAATATATTACAAAAATATTTACTGAATTAATTCTCCTGACTTCTAAGCATTTTGATTTGTACCTCCATATATTGTATAGATTGAAATTACGAAATTACAAAAACTTATTAGAAAAATAATAGGAATAGGAATTATTAACCTATTAAGCAATCTCCCACAGACTTAAAAAATTATGTTTATATATTTTATTTTATTAAATTACGTTATATTTAAGTTAGTATTATTAGTTTTGAAATAAAGCGGCCTACTTCTTTAAATCATATTATTTTAGTTTATACAATGAACTTTTATAATACTAATTGTCTTAATACTATTGACTTTTGTTAACTTACTTAAACTTGTATGGTGGTTTGACTTGTTTCGTTACTTTCTTCTTACCGCGCCGGCGTTTCTTTACACGTGAATTAGTAGGGGTCTCACTACGAGATGTATTGTCTGTAGTTGAGGTGCTTTCAACGCTTGATGTGTCATCCTTAACAAATTTGAAGTTGAAACAATATATAAAGAACAGAATCATAGAAATCGTTCTTATTCCTCTATAATTCGATTCTATGAAGCGAATGTAGTTAGATTTCATTCAATGAGGTTAGCAATTATCCTCAATGTTAGTACAAAGTCACGACTCTGAATCACACAAAAATCATTGTTTGCAACACAACTTACCGCCTCATTGTCTGAAAAATTCATACTATATATTAACTAATGTACAAGAACGTTATTGAATACAGTCCCAATGGATGTTTCATACAAATAACTTAAATTAATGTAAACTTTCTTTACGATATCACACGATCAGCTGGCAACGGCGTCCTAAATGTCAATTGTCAAATTTTCGCGGGAGCAAATTTTTTTTTTTGCAAAAGTAATTTACTTCTTCGAGCCTTTGCAGTGTTATTTAGATAAACTTTTTTTAATATGTTTTCTAAAAAGAAATAATAAAATTGATAAAACTGTCTCCAGTTACGATTACTTTAACTATCTGGGAAAAAAATAATAATTGAAGTACAATAAGAAAAGACGATTCCGTTTTTGGGTCTAAATATGTAATATTTCGCAAATTTCAGTTTTTATTGTGAGATATTCCAAGTCTTAATTTAATTATAATCTGATGGCACTTTTAAAATTACTTATATTCTAGGAGTATATTTAAATGAAAGTCAAGGTTATTTGTACTAAATATTCATATTTATTAAAAGCAACTTAAAAATAATAGTTCTGGTATAAAAATATAAATTGTTTAAACCAGATAAAAAATAATTACTTAGCCTAAAACATAATAAATAACGAATGGTATGGTAACAATTTTAGCTGGTTAGCTAACTACTCGTATAATTAAATCTAATCACAGCCATTTTTACTTACAATATTTAAATAATATTTTACCAAATAGTTTATGAACCTAAAATTAATACTGATATGTAAACTAAACATTAGACCTTGCTGTGCGTTTAATCTGCGTAATGTTACCAACTTTGGTTAGCACACTTAGAAAATGCCATCCGTCAACAATTCTATTATAAATGCTTTCTCTCTACAGATTTATTGCAATAATCTATGCTTTCACTCAGATAAAAACATTATATACATTAAACCGTCTTATAGTGCTTCGAACTTTCTGTTTTACAATTGAACGGTACGACAATAATCAAATAAGTGTGTAACGCGTAAATTTTAGTATAAAATATAAATAAAAAAGAAGAACAAGAATTAAAAGAAAATGAGAGTCAAATGGAAGATTAAAGAGTAAAAAAGAAGTTCTTGTTGAAATTTCAATGATATAGAATGAAATGTACTGCGTCTTTTTAAATTGTAAATCAGATATAATATCTAGGTAAAATAACACGGAGGATCATCGAATCCTAATGTTTTTAATAGTAATTAATGTTATGCTATATCATGTATAATTTGAGATATATTTTTTTCATTAATTCCTAGCATTATCAATGGTTCGATACCACTGTAAAAAAGGTGATAGTTAATTTTTCATACCGTTTTTCGAAGCTTTGGTAGACAAAAAAAATATACGTATAGACTTAAAATTATTAATTCCTCTTTTGACTACACGATCCAAATCCAGTAGAATATTAAATCGATACTTCAAATGGTTGACATCGGCCATGAAGCATGCTTAACTTAATTTTATAACTATTGTATATACATATTTTTTTTTAAATCAATTAACCAATAGCTAACAGACTGGCCTAAAACACATTCTTTAAGAATAAAAATAACATCTATCAGCCAGTATTTAAGTATTTAAATATTTTAAATAAATTATAACATTTTAGTTAAGCCTCGGAAGCCTCTAAAGTTCTAGTGGTAGTGTGGCGGTTGGCATGTGCAGGCGTGACGTAGAGCCAGTTTGAGCCAGGGTAAGAATTTGGCGACACGCGCGTACACACCCGGATACCCCTGTCTGGCACAACCTCGTCCCCACGATACAATACCTGCAACAGAATTGAAATTGAGGGTTTATGAGTATACCGAACAACTAAACGCTTAGTCAGCCTTCAACTCTTGGTTCACCTTTCCCATATACGAAGAAATCATTTTACTTATAATATGTTGCAGTACAAATATGTAAAATGTTTTTTTAAACACGGTAAAGGAAACTTTATGCAGTCCATCACTTTCATCTAATTACAAAATATCTGTCAGTCTATTATTACCACGGTGTTTCTAAATTTACGTTCAACCACCTATATAAATAGAGTACAAAATTTTCTCCAAGGTAATTCTATCATATTTTGACACGCAATGTTAACAACGAGAAATAATTTAAACAGAGGATTGTACAGTGTAAACATAGAGACACATAAAACATTAAAACTTCAGAGGTGCAAGTCCCTTAAGATACCCCAAAAAGATACGTTTGGCTTACCCACGATGGTGTAATGCGGCCGCGGTAACAGCAGAGGTCCTCCCGAGTCCCCTGTACAGGAGTCCCTCTCAGGGGCGTTGGCGCACAGCATCCGCGGCGTCACCTTCCTTCGCCCATACCCCGCGCCGGAGCACTCCTCTTGCGCCCATATGTTCACCTGCGCCTGCGTAACTCTTGTGTTAACCAACTATCCGAACGTGCGAACAAATAAAATTCGACATTAATAATCTTAGATCAAAGATCATACGGAATTTTCAAAGGCTATTCGAATAGACTTATGGAGCCAAAACTGAGCAATCCTATGTTTGTTATAATATTCGAATAAGTAAACTATCAAATCTGAGCCAGTTAATGTTAAATGAATATCCGAACGTGCGATCTGAATCAATTTTAAACAATACATTGTTCATTTAGAATTATTCGAACACTGTAGCGAAATCATGCAGACACAAAAGCTAAATTTTTCTAAATTTAAATAAACATTTCGACACAATACTCACCTTCATAGGAATGCTAGATGGTGGTCCTTTTTCGATTGTACTTCCCCAACCAGACACGATAGCCTCTACTCCCTCAAGTCTGTTGTCGTCGTCCAATTCTAAAAATTAAATTTTCTTGTTTATGTTGTCTGAAGTTTTAATTGGTTCTTTCTTCATTGTAATCATGAAAACATTCATATGACATGACACAAGAACAAATCGAGTAAGTATCTATTGTGAAATATTCTCACATACATTTTCCCAAACTTCAAACTTGCACATCGGTTAATAGGTCGTTTGCTGTAAATGAAGAGGGAAAAAAACATTTTCGAAGATGCAATTATTGTTAAGTAAACTCAGGTAACTTTTGTAAAAATATGTTATCTCTTGTAATATCTGCTTCATATTTAAGGAAAAACGATAAAAGCGGAGCAAAACTAACAAAAACGCAAGATAGGTCTACCTCCAAAGGCTAAATGTTTAAACTACCTGTACAGCGTGAAAACAGGCGGCAAGTAGTGAAATTAGTTGTAAATAATCTTTACATACATTTTCATAAATTTTTTAAGACACCTTTCTGGTTTTAATCTTATCTGTTCCAAAATAACACATCATTGTTATTTTATTTTGTTTAAATTTGTGTCGACTACTAATTTATTCTAAATTTTAAACCTAATAAATTTCTAATGAACTAGATTCATTTAACAGTCAATAAAATCGTCAGTAGATTAAACAAATTAAATCAAATTAACGGTATGTAAAAGTGTGTTAATATCAAAAGGGTAATTCCAAATAGTCTGTTGCTTCGCGGGTTCTCTACATGCATCTAAACGAATCAACAAAAATCGATGCGATAGCTTATATTAAAATAAACGAAATGGTATATCATTATTAAATTAAATAATTTTAAGGGTATATCGCGTTTATTTTTGATAATGTGTAGTGTTCGCGTCAGTCCGCAAAACTTCGTATTTCATTTTAATTTGAAATATGTATAAATAATGAAATTATATATGACATACATTTTATCGAATTTAAACTACAAACTTAAAAGTAGATGCTAAAATCTTAATTAAAATTCTTCTCATTTTAATGACATTATTAAATTTTTTATTACCTACCTGATCTTCGACTATGATTGACCGTGTTAATCACTTATTAATATGACTTCTATTTAGCAAAGATCGTAAACATCTCGAAAGGTATAAATTAATTTTCTCAATGAATTTATTTGTATCAAACTAGAGCAAATATCGGTAAATTTGTTATTCTAAAATAAAATATAAGCTTTCGCATCTTTTAACACAAAGGAGAGATATGTCTCTATGAGTTATCTATGGATAACTCATCTTTTCAGTGAAGTGTCGATACTTGTGACGATTTATGTGGGGAAACAATTTGAAAAAACATAATAATTTTACTAAGCCACTAGGTTCCAACCCACGACCGTCAGAATAACCAACTGCAACAACAGGCATATTGATCATCACCGACAATGGATCATCAGTGGCTAGTCACATTAGTTATATAAAAATCGTTACGTTGCACTCGAGAATAAGAATAAATAACGGATATAATCTTTGACACTATATTTTGTACAGCTATATTTTGTAAACTACTTTTGCAATTATTTTCTTAGAATAATCTCATAATCTTAGTTGAAGAAATATGTTAACGTCAAGCGGAAGAATTTCAAGATCATTTCTAGAGACCAGTCTGAAATTCAAAATGAATACTGACTATCAGTTAAAACCGCTACTGGTAATTTAAATAGGATAGATAAAATACGGCAACACAAAATACAGATAACAAAGATAGATACGAATCTCACCAGGCAAGCAGGCAGGCCTGTACAGATTCTCGGGTATGGATTCGGCGAGGCGTAGCACGGCTATGTCGTTGTCGTAGGTGAACCGGTTGAAGTCCGGATGCTGCGTGACATGAGATACTTGGATTCCCTCCGAATCGGAGTTGTTCACGTCGTACTCCCCCACCAAGACTGTGAGCCGGACGCCTCGACCCTGAAATGAAGCGAACCATTAAAAATTAGTTAATTATATAATCTTAATTAGTTTTTTAATATTGAGACTCCTTTCGCGCCAAAATCACTGTCAGTCCGCTCGTGTCAAATGCCCCATCATTTATAGAGTTCGGGACGAAAAGAAATTGTGTTAAAATACGAGAGATTTTCTCTATTTCTTATTATGCTTATGAATCATGGATTATACGCACAAGGCGTCAATAAAACTTGGACATTTACTACTACTATTTACTATTTTAATGTTCTTATTATCTACTAATTGCGTATACCAACGACATTTCGAGAAAATTCTTATGTCTAGAAACGATTTCTTGCAAAGAAACATCGTTCTGGAACAGGATGCTCTGGGTGTCTTTTGTGATCTTTCCAAGGCTTTCGATTGCGTGAATCATGAAACACTGATCAGGAAATTGCGCCATTATGGCATTAAAAGTACCGCGCTTGACCTCATTAAGTCATAACTATCTAATAGAATTCAAAAAGTTGTAATTAATGGTGCTAGTTCTTCTGGGTCAACGGTATCTATGGACTTACGCAGGGCTCGATTCTCGGCCCATTTCTCTTTCTCATTTACATTAATGATCTTCCTTACTTTGTAGGGAGTAAACACGATATAGTTTTATTTGCCGATGATACATCATTAATTTTTAAAATCAATCGACAGCTTGTTACACTTGACGAGGTAAATAATGCTATGTCAGAAATAGTCTATTGGTTTAATACTAACAATTTACTATTAAATGGTAATAAAACTAAAGGTATGAAATTTTCAACACCTAATGTTAAACATTTGGGTGCTACCAATGTACTTATAAATGGGGGGTTAGGCCTTGTGGATACGACTGTCTTTCTTGGAATAACTCTCGATGCAAAGCTTCAATGGGGTCCCCATATATCCAAACTTGCGAATAGACTAAGTTCTGCAGCGTATGCTATAAGGAAAATAAGATGTCTAACTGATGGAAAAACGGCTACAATTGTGTATTTTAGTTACTTCCATAGCATAATGTCATATGGTATTTTGCTATGGGGGCACGCGGCCGATATAGAAACAATTTTTATTTTGCAAAAAAGGGCCATAAGAGCTATTTATATTCTAGATCTGAATGCATCTTTGAGAGAGAAGTTTAAAGAAATAAATATATTAACCTTAGCCTCTCAATATATATATGAAAATGTTATGTATGTGCGTAGAAATATTAATAATTTTGATAAGAATACTGATATACATAATGTGAACACTAGGAACAAACACAAGCTTGTAATGCCAGTTACTAGACTCCATAGAGTAAGTAACTCGTTCATGGGGCGATGTATACGCTTTTACAACAAAATCCCAGTAAATGCGCAAAACCTGCCTATTAACAGGTTAAAGAAATTTATTAAAGAAAAACTTTATAAAAAGGGTTATTATAATACAAATGAATACATTAATGACAATAACCCCTGGGAATGAGTTGATCGCTCCCAAGCTATTTCTAAAAGGAAAAAAATCAGTTGTATAATTTTTGAATTTTTTGTTAAGAAAAAAAAAATAATTACAAAAAAGAGGATACCTACGGAGTTTCTTTCGCCTGTTTCTTCTCCGCTAGAGGAACCTCATTACGAAACGGTGGTAGATTTAAAAAAAAAATATGACTATTGATAAATGAAATGTAAGTTTCTTATGTCGATGAATAAATGATTTTGATTTTTTTTTATTTTTGTTCCTAAGGTTTATTTTTACTTACATCCAATGTATGGACTTATAGTGTGTGAAGTTCCACAAACATAAAATCGCAGACACAAAGACGTAAGTATTGACATATTTGTCCGTGCAGACATTTTTTGTTCCGTGCAGGGAACCGAAGTCACACCACCGTAGCAAGTGGTAATTCACGAGGTCTCCATTAAAACCCGTGGATACAAACGATCGGTAAAAGAGAGTGTGGGTCCTGAATAATAATGTGCATACAAAGAAATACATATTTACCATTTTTCTATTACGCCATTTTTATTAACATTCGGCGGCGACAAACCTTATTGTCTATGGATTGAAGGTTAAAGCCTGAAATAACGTAATATCAGTTCCCTTGGCACAGCGACCACGTTAGCCAAGTAAACTTAACGCTCCATTCGAATGCACGGCACGCCTTCTTACAAAAGAAAACTAGACATCTACGTAACTAACGAAGAAAGGAACGCATCGGCGCATCTAATGCGCGATCTTGGCCTCATTACGGGAAAGAAAGAGCAGCGTGTTTTGTTTGTCAATGAAAGTAATCAGTTATAAAACTATAAAAAAAAACCTTTTAAAATATTTTAACTAAGCAATGCGCTTTATCGAAATGAGACGAGACAATAGAGCCATTTCTTTTCTCGCCTATAGGTTTATAAAGGGCTTATTAATGTAAAAACACCAAGGAAATTCAGCGCCTTTAACACCAAACTCGAAGGAGAAGGTTTGTGAGATGATTTATTATTTATGTACCATTTGTATACATTGTGTTTTACGACAGTTGGTCATTATTATCTTTTTTTTGTAAAGTCAAATATGATGGGATCTCAACCTCTATTGTGTTTGATGACATTATGCTGCAAGTGCGAAGATTATTCTTCTTCGAAACTATAACCCGTGGAGGCTAATTTCCACATTACGCTCCTTTCTAACCTTCTGTATCTTGCAATCTTTATACGTACGTTTTTACGATAAGAACCCGCGTCCTGCGGACTACAAACCCGACGCTCTAACCACTGAGTTAAACGGCATAATATCTTTATATCGAAAAAAATCTCAACGAATGTATCTCTTGAATGGTGGATGTGGCTCATGGGATCGCTCTCAAGCCAAAAAGACACTTAAGGACTGATAGGAAAACTGTTTATTTCAACTTAAACATTTTGAACTTATTTTAGACGAAATGTAATGATTATGAAATTTATATAAAATACAAGAGTTATGTCAGATGTCACATGTTACATCTTCAAACGATTTTTACGGAATCAATCAAACATGACAATTCAGTCTGAATAAATAAAACTAACATTCCAAATTTGATTTAAAGTAATTCAAACATAATACATAAACCAAACAGGTCAGAGTTGACATCAAAAGAGTATGTATAATCTGAGATTACCAATCAACAGTATCTACTTTATCTTTATTGCATTTTAAGCATACATCATACGAAAATAAAGACTAGAACAGTGATTCTCAACCTTTTTTTTGTTGCGGCACATATTAAACGATTTCAAAATTTGGCGGCACACAAAGAAAAAGATAAAAATTATTTACTTACTACAACACACTGCATAAATAGTTTATGACAAAAATTTTAAATATACGAAATAAACTAATACATACTACAATAATAGCTAAACGTTTATTAAGGGATTAATTACAATTACATAATAAAAATATTTTTAATGCGAAATTTGAGCTTGATGTTTTTTGATAATTTCATATATATTTGGTCGTAAAAATGACAATGCTACTCTCATATCGTCTTCTACATTTAACAATCTTGATCTTTTTTTAGTTTTAATGTTGGCTAATGCCAAAAAATATTTTTCTTTTTAAATGATTTAATCTAATAATATTAACATTATTATATATTTGCAAAATTTGGCGGCACACTTTTGAAATTTGGCGGCACACAAAAGTGCCGCGGCACAGTGGTTGAGAATCACTGCACTAGAACTTTGCTTACTTTGCTGTCGTAGTGTAATATGTCTTGAAATATTCATTTTTATTTATTTATTTAGACAGACACGCGATAACTATGATAATGTTTTCCATCTTGCTAAACAATACAAACGCACCTATTGACCTTTAAACATGTACATGGTAGCCACTTGGCATACCCGTATTACATGACACAGGCACTTGGTAATGATGTTACGGATATTATTACGAGAATGCTTGTCTAGATTGCGAAATATCCCGCTTTCATTTAACCGTTGCGAATAGGCCCTTGTTCGAAATGGTCTGAATTATCATACATCGGTTGATCTTTAATTACATTTATAAACACTAACACTATAACTGTAACACGCCAGGACTTTTTGGATTTTTTGTAGATAATTTGACAAAAACTGGTGCATCGCGCTCAGTCTCTTCACCAACTAAGCTAAGCTGATCTCATAGCGTCCATTTATTAGCATCGGTTTTGTCCATTTGCCTTTTTAGTGACCCTATTACTAAGACTCCGTTGGCTGTCTGTCTTTCCGTCTGTGACCAGGCTGTATCTAATGAACCGTGATAGTTAAACAGACATGTTTTTTTTTTTGCCGTTTTTATAGATAATAATACGGAACCCTTCGTGCGCGAGTATGAATCGCACTTGGCCAGTTTTTTGGCTTGTTGCGAATACCACACAACGTAAAAATAATTTTTGTTACGTCAAATTAAACTCGATAAAATTCATAAAATGTTTGATAACAAAAAACACTAGTTTGATACATCTTTCGCGTAGTAAGCACTAGCGTAATTTTTTGATGATTCACCCAAAGGAAGTTTGGTACGAAAGCTCATAGACGATCCCGAATGTATATAAATTTGGGAATATGTATAAATGTAACAATACTAACAAATAAGTTTTGATTCCCCCATTACGACAACTTATATTATGTAAATTGCTTCTAACTCCACGTTCGTAAATCTTCGACCGACTTGACAATTAGGTATGACACGATAATTATATCGCACCCGCTTTTACTTCTTATTTACGACATGAACATGTCGGTCCGTTGATGAAAATTTCCGTTCATCGTCACGCATGAGCAACGTTTAACTGACAAAATATGGTAAACTATTGTTTACGTTATCGTCAAAGTGATCGTTTAGTTAAGCACTATTTCGAAACGCGCCACAGTTAGAACAGTTATGTTCGATTGTCGTTTATAAGTAAACCCGCCCCAGCGTCGCACGGGTTTAATGTATTATACATATAATAAACCAATAACCTTAAACCTTCCTCTTGAATCACTCTATCTAGTAAA